AAGCTGACACTCAGCTTTGTCTGTGGCGGGGTAAGGGCACAGGTGGTACGTGCTTGGCCTTCTGTTTCTTAAAGGCAGAGGGGATAAAATGATCGGAGCCTTGGGCGGGGGGCAAATCATTGTGACTTTCAGAAACAGCAAAACCCGCAGTTTGTGGAGTGTAGAGGCAGCATCAGGGGATGGGGAAAATGGTGCTTAGCCTGCCCCTCCATCGTCCACCTCGTTTCTCCTGTGGCTCTCGGAGGAGGCGCAGTCTCCACTCAGACCTCCGCTGGCGTTTCCTGCCTGCACGCTGCCCGGGGTCTCCTCACGGTCGCACGCCCACGCCCACAGATCCAGTTCCTCCTCTGCAAAGAGCGCCACCTGGTGGCCGCGGCAGAATCGCGGGGCTGTCTTTGACCCCGCCCTTACTGTTCCTTCCCAGGAGCCAGCCCTCAGATTTACTCCTGAGTATCTGCTGAATATTTAAATAGCTTAAAAGGCCTTTGGTGACCCGCCTGTGCCTGACTCCTCAGACCTCCTCTTCTGCTGCCAGGGCCATGGCCGGCCACCTCCGGCTGCCCCCACCCGCCTACAGGCGCCTGTGTCAGTCAGTCACCTTCCAGCCCTTGCAGGCTTTCCACACTGGGACTGGGGATTGTATACATTCGGACCAGGGTTGGAACTGGCAACCCAGGCACGGGCCCTGACGGGGAATCGAACCTGCAACCTTCCAGTTATGGGAGGATGCTCAGCCAGCTGAGCTACACCAAGCCGGGAGGAACTTCTCTTTTGAAGTAGTTTGCGGAGCTTGCTGTAGACCATCAAAACACCTCAATGGGGGAGCTCTTTTTTTCTTTGAGAATGTTTGACTTTCAGAAACAGCTTGGTTCACAGAGTGAGAACAAGATGGTTAACGCCATTTCTGATATTTAATAAAAGCATGATTACAATGAGATTTTCCTTTGTAGTATCTAAATTAATACATATTCCGGCTTTCTGACAACTAATACAGCATATATATTCCTTCTGACACATTGACATTCAGGAAACTAACCATCATAAAGTCTTGATTTTTGAATCGCACTCTGATAAAATCAAGCAGTGTTAGTAAGCTCAGGAGAGACATCTTTAATAATATTCTTAATTACCAGTCGACCATCAAAATTTTCCTTCTAGTGAAGAAGAATTTAGGAAAAAGTAATCCAAGGTGACACCCTGTATTCTTACACAAATTTGGGGCTGTTCCCTTTCCAGCGAGGGCCACAGTGTCAGTGTGGCTGAAACGCATTGTGGAAGGCGGTCCCACTATGACGCAGAGAACGCGGCCCCATCGGGGGCCTGTTCCTCGGGAAGGGCGGAGCTGCCAGGGGAAAGGACAGGGACGTGGAGGCAGGCACTCCGCCTCTGCAGAAGCACCGAGGGCGTGCACAGCATGACCCTCAGGATGTGCTTATAGGTACGAGAGCGGAGGCACAGGTGAAAGCCTGAACTAGAAAACACACCCAGAGCGAGTGGTTGGGGGAGCAGCCAGCCGGGGAAGGCTGGATGCAGTGAAACCCTGGGCTGGATGCAGTTGAACTTGGAGTTCCAGTCCACGGGGACCGGTCACAGTGCGCCGGTCACTGCATGGAGCCTCTATGTAGTCTGTGGCCCAGCGGTTGCTGAGGGTTCGGTGTGATTCCTTGTCATTGTGTAGAGAAGTTATGGATGTGAGGTATCGAGGCAGCCGTAAAGGGTTGTGGACACGTTAGTTATTTTAAACTATTTCACCAGTTTGTACCCTGAACTTACCTCATCCTCTGTGTGTGCGCGCACGTATGTGTATATAGGTGTGTGTGTGTACTTTCGTAGGTGCTAGAATGATGGAGAGATGCGGCGCAGGGAGAGGGATGCATGGCTCATTGTGAATCGTGGGTGAGGGAGGAGAGAGGAGCTTGTGCAGCGAACTCCCTCTTGCCACAGGGTGGTTGTGGAGCAGTGCCACGCAGGCACGTGGGCACTGAGCCTGTCTGGAAAGGCCTTGTGCACTGGACTCCACGAGGGCTGGTGCCCGCGAAGTCTTTGTCACAGTACGGCATGCACTCGGGGGAACTGGTGTCTTTATGGTTTTACTGGCACCTCGGTCCTAGGTTTCAGCTGGGCAGTGTTGGTACGTGCCCAGGGGTAGGGATTTCTGGTGGAAGCTGCCACGCGGTGGGATCTAAGACTGCTTCTCCAGCCTGGCTGTGGGAGAAAAGTCACTGGGCAGCCTTAGACGTCACCTGTGGCCACAAGCAAATGGTTGGCTGTTTTAATTTCTCTTAGTTCGACCTTAAATATCAAAATTTAGTTTAAATCACTATAAAGCTGCAAAATTCAAGGACAACAATGTTATGAAAAAGGTCTAAAAAGAGAATTTAAATGGAATGCCCATTTCTACTTTTACTTCTTTTCTGTAAGTTATATGTTGGTCATCCTTTCTGGGTACCAACCAGTTTTCTTAATTTCAACCTGAATAACAGCAGGTATCTCGGCAATGCCAGCAACAGGCATCACGAGGAGAAGGTTTTGGGGCCCTGTGGGCAGTCAGCCATTGACATGTGATGTACATGGCAGACACATTTTAGAGACCTTCATGTTGGATAGATATTTTGATAGAATGTTTTTATTTTCAAAAGGCAAAATTACGTATTTATTTTTGTGTGTCTTAATCCCCTCACCTCTCACCTATTCTCCCATGCTCACCCTCCCGTCTCTTTCTCTTTAACCTTTTAAAGGCATTTTAATTATGATGTGTGTTGGGGTGGGCCTCTTTGTGTCTGTCTTGTTTGGGACTCCCTGTGCTTCCTGGACTTGCATGTCTATTACCTTCACCAAATTAGGGAAGTTTCTTTTCCTTACTTTTCAAATAGATTTCCAATTTTTTGCTCTTCTGACACGCCTGGGAAGCGAATGTTGGGTTGATTAAAGTTATCCCACTGGCTGCTTACACCGTCCTTGTTTTTTGGATTCTTTTTTCTTCTTGTTGTTCTGATTGGTTGGTTTTTGCTTCCTTATGTTCCAAATCATTGATTTGATTCTTGGCTTCATTCACTCCACTGTTGTTTCCCTGTAATTGTTCTTTATTTCAGTTAGTGTATCCTTCATTTATGACTGGGTCTTTTTTAGGCTGCTGAGGTCCTCACTAAGTTCCTTGAGCATCCTTGTAACCAGTGTTTTGAACTCTGCATCTGATAGATTGTTGTCTCCATTTCATTTAGTTCTTTTTCTGGGGTTTTGATCTGTCCTTTCATTTGGGCCATGTTTCCTTGTCTCTTCGTTTTGGCAGCCTCCCTGTGTTGGTTTCTGTGTATTAGGTACAGCTGCTATGACTCTGTGTCTTGATAGTGTGGCCTAATGTAGTAGGTGTCCTGTAGGGTCCAGTGGCACTGCCTCCCCTACCACCCAAGCTGAGAACTTGAGGTGCACCCTTTGTGTGGGTTGAGTACACCCTCCTTCTGTAGTTGAGCCTTGGTTGCTGTTGGCAGGTCAACAGGAGGGATTTATCCAGGCCAGTCAGCTGCAGGGATTGGCTCTGCCCACTGACCACCAACCTCTGCCCTCCGTGGAGGATCAGCTGTGCAGGGGCAGGGTGGTGGCGCTCCACCACCAGGGTGAGCTACGTAGCTGTCTGCCGGGTGCTCTGGCCTACGGTTTCCCCGGTGATGCAGGCCCAGGTCAGCCTCCACCTGTGTGTTTTGCTTAGTTTGTTTTTTAGATTCAGTTGTTAATCTTTGTGAATTTCTTGCCATTTTAATGTTCATAGTTTTGATCTTCTTTTCTTAAATAAGTCCCTTTAACATTTCATGTAATAATGGCTTGGTGATGATGAGCTCCTTTAGTTTGACTTTGTCTGGGAAGTACTTCATCTGCCCTTCAATTCTAAATGGTAGGTTTGCTGGGTAGAGTAATCTTGGTTGTAGGTCCTTGCTTTTTGCTTTTCATCACTTTGAATACTTCTTGCCAGTCCCTTCTGACCTGCATCAGCTAACAGTGTAATGGGAACTCCTTTGTAGGTAACTCTGCTTTTTTCTTAATACTTTTAAGATTCTCTCTTTCTGTGTAACCTTTGACATTTTAATTATGCGTCTTGGTGTGGGCCTCTCTATGCTTCCTGGACTTGTATGTCTATTTCCTGAAAGGCAAAATTTTGCCTCCTGCCACAATTTTCCCTTTAGGATATAAGTGGATGTCTGACAGTGATACCAAAAAAAAAAAAAAGTTTAGGTAAAACAGCAGCAGAAGCAACTAAACATCACATTTGTTTCTGGTGAATGACCTGAGCCATTTCCATTGGGTCAGAAACATGCAGGATGGGCTCATTACCTTTCTATTGTTGCCCTTGCAGATGATTGCAAACTTAGTGATTTAGCAGGACACAGATTCTCTTACAGCTCCGTAGGGTAGAAGTCCAGTGCAGTCTCACTGGGCTCAAGTCCAGGTGTCGGCAAGGGCTGTGCTCCTTCTGGAGGTTGTCGGGAAGAGCGCCTGTCCTTGCCTTTCCAGCTTCCAGGAGGTCCCCCCCCCACTCCCGCCCTGGTCTTGGCCTCCATCCTCAGAGCCAGCAGGGCTGCCTCTGTCTGACCATCCAACCTCCGTAATCAGATTTGCTCATCATCACAGCCAGGAGAGTTTCTCTGCTTCTGAGCACCCTGGTGGTTAATTTTGACCACCTTCACGGACCATCAGAATCTGCCTGTCTCCAGGTGCCACGCTGACTCCCATCGTGATGCCGCAGAGCCTCCGGTTCTGGGGGTTCAGATGTGGCCATTTCAGGGGGCGTTATTCTGCCTGCCATTATATGGAAGTCATTCACACCCTATTTCATTCAGAGGAAGTGTTTTTCAGACGCGCTCATAATTTGTTGTAGGTCTTCAAGAACCTTTCACTTGGGTATTTCATAGGGGAGAGCTGTGTGTATTTAAGAAACCGTTTTATTTGTTTGGGTTTTCAACTGCTTATTAGAGCTAACATTTCTTCTCCCTTGTTTTCTCTGATAGTGATAACCTGCTGAGGAGAGCGGCTTGCCAAGAAGCTCAGGTAACGCCATTCGCCATGAGACGGGGGCAGCGCCTCCTGTCATCTGTGCGGGAGACGCAGGCTGTTCAGGGCGCTGTGCCTCCCATCTGGAGGCGTGGGTGTGTCCCCACTGTGGGGGGTGGGGACGGTCGTGGGGAGAGCCAGCAGAGGAAGTGAACCGTCTGGTGTGGAGCAGTCCTGCTGCCCACGGCCTTAGGCTGGTTTACCACTGTGTGTGTCCGAGCGGCTCAGGGGCGGGGGCTGGGGGAGGTCGATTCCATGCACAGTCTTGGCCTGAGGACGAGGCCAAGCCCTGACTCGTCCTGATCAAGAACTCCATAGGCCGTCAGTTCAGAGCAGGCGTTACTCCTCAAAGTCAAATCTTCTTACAGCTGTTGGTTCATACTGTTAAAGCTCGACTCTCTCAGCACAGCCAGTTCCCACCATGCGCGCCGTTGGCCCGCCTGGTGATAGTGCACTTAAATCGTCCTGTATCTCGCTGTGTTTGTTACAGTTCAGTTGCAAATCCTTTCAAGTCCAAGGCCACATTTTTGTTCTCTTACCCCCTCCAAACTTGTACATTATACCTTGCAGGTGAATTCCATGATTGAGTTGCCTTCTTGTTGTATGCCATTTAAGTTTATTATGGCAGAAATACAAAAACAAAAAACAGGAAATGAAAAAGGTATGAGATTTATAGTAGGAGACGTGGGCGGCGAACCTACTGTTTTTCCTGAAACGTTTTCATGCGTGACAGTGACAATAGGTACTATTAGCAAATACCTTTCTTTTATGATTGCCTAACCATTCTAAATGTGTTTTCCGAATTTGAGCACTTGGTCACTTGTTTCATCTCATGTGGCTCTAAGTTGTTTTGGAAATGAACTTGAACTTTGTACTCAAGTCGAGGTGATCCCCACCATAAGTGAATATTCCATTAGCAGCTGGAAAATTGGGAGACGATCCCTCTCTTTTGCTCTTTAAGAGAGAACGTTCGTGGGTCCTCCCTTGCCTAAGATAAATGCCTCCACCTTTGTTCCAAAGTCCGTTCCAAAATCTATTCTCTCTTACTTTTTCGGAGACTGTGTTCCTTGAGTTATTTCCACTTTTTCATTTATTTACCTCTTCCCACTGTTCTTTTTCTTAGAGATTTTATTTTTAGAGAGGGGAAGGGAGGGAGAAACATCAGTATGTGGTTGCTTCTTGTGCACTACCTACTGGTACCTGACCCGCCAACCAGGCATGTGCCCAGACTGGGAATTGAACCTGCAACCCTGTGGTTCACAGGCCGGTACTCAATCCACTGAGCCACACCAGGTGGGGCTTTTCCCACTGTTCTAATTTTCCTTTTCCCAACACACACACTTAGCTCCTCTTTGATAAAAGTGACGTTTTCTATTTGTGCCCTTCTCTTAAGTCTAAATTTTTGAAAGAATATGATTTTTTAACTTTCATGTACACTTAGCTCATCACAGTCTTACATAAATTCCTTAACCTCCTGTCAACCTAAAACTTGAGTTGCAAGTTAAGTATTCTGGAGAGTAGAAACCAGGACAGGGGGGAAGAATGTGGAACTGTGCATCCGGAACCGGGTGGGCACGAGAACTTGTTAATTATATCATTTGTGGCCACATTCCAGAAATAGTATGGATAGAACAAGAACAAATTATAATATGTAGAGATTTGGTAGCCAAATGTTAAGGTCTAATTCAGTAAGACTGAAAACAGTAGAAATTATAATGTACCAGAATGTACTTTTTTTTTTAACAAAGAAACAGTATGTCTTTCTGAAGTATTCAGAAAAAGTTTACTTTTTTTTAAGCAAGAAATAGACAATGGTAAGAAAGGATCTCCAGTGGATGTCAGGCAGGAGGTAGATTTAGAGGCAACTATTTAATGAAAATCTGGTTATCACCTTTCATTTTTCCCGGTAGTTACTTTGTACATCTACCCTGGAATCCTGCCTTCTTGGCCCAGACCTGCTCCCCGCCGTCCAAGACTCGGAACTTAGCCCTTTGTGCCGCTGTCCTCCTCTCGTCCTTTCCGGATCTTGTGCTCCTGTTAGTCCCCACCCTTGCATCGCCTTGTCTCTGAATCCTGCCTCGTCCTTCCTTTGCTCTTTAGAGCTGATAAAGAAGGAGACGCTGGGATTTTGGAGTTCGATCGATGTAAATGCTAGGCTGTAACTTATTAACAGGGTGACTTTGATTCAGTCTTTCTGAATCCTGTCTTTCTAATCTATTAAAATGGGAACCTTTAAGACCTCCTAGGTTTCTCAGAACTAAGAACGATGAGTGCGAAAGTGGCAAATACTAAGTGCTTAGTGAACATTGATTGCATTTCTTTTCCTGCCACAGTTGATGCTACTTAAGTTATCGTTCAAGGTAGCAAAGCAGAGGAGGCAGGTAGAGTATTAGCTCAGATATATGTAAATATATAAAGATTAATTGGTGACACAAAGGTTCTTCATAAATAAGCTTCAGTAATAAGTTGAAGTAGAAAAGAGTACACTCTGAAAACTAAAGACAAATGGATTAAAATTCCCCTCTGGCAGCTATTGTCTCTCTCTTGTGTTTGTAATAAACCTGGCCACAGCTTGTGGAGAAAACACAAGTTACCTCTAGCAGGTAAAGCAGTGTTTGTTTATTATTAAATAATGGGACACTTTTGTGTTATTACTTATGGTATTTCTGTTAATGTGAAATCATGAAAGAACATTCTTTTTTTCTCCTAGAGTAACTATTATTATCTTCTGGAAGTAAATTCTTTCGGAATGAAAGAATATATGTGATCACTAACCAAATAAAAGGACATTCACTTCAAACTTTTCTTTCCCCCTTTTTAGGTGTTTGGCAATCAGCTGATCCCTCCCAATGCACAAGTGAAGAAGGCAACCGTCTTCCTCAACCCCGCCGCTTGCAGAGGGTAGGCGATTTGTTACGTACGCATTGGTGGCTTGTTGCACGTTCAGTTTTTATAAGGGGGGGGGATAATCATGGAATATCCGGCAGCTGGTTGGATTGTTTGGAACTGGAAGGCCAGGTTCAATACTCTTCCAGCAACAAGGTTTGCGTGTGATGAAGAAATAACAGTTAATGAGGTGCAACTGTAAAGCTAACTGGTGCCCAGCAAACCTGGCTAACTGAAGGTCACTGATCATTCTAGAATTAACACTTGCGAGTAAGTCTGACCTGCTTGGCAGCAGCCCCCTGGGGAAACCCCTGCCGCCGTGACGTGGGTTATCAGAACTTCTCCGTGGCAAGGCATTCAGAGATGGCCAGGAGCTCTGGGCTGGCACGGGCAGCAGAGTTCTTCCCTGGAGGAGTGAGCCTGAGCCTGGCCTGGGAGGGCACCCGAGGGAGAGCCCCCCCCTCTTCTGGGCTGAGGAGGTGGTCTGAGGACAGGGGCCTAGGACAGGAGGGACTGACTGTTTTCTGCTGTGTCGCGGGACCGTGAGTACACTGGTCTGGCTGGCCGGCAGGGTCACGTGAGGGAATGTGGGATCCAGGTGGGAAGAGTACTTGGGACCTTGGGTGCTACTCAGGTGTCCCTGTGCGTTATTGTAACAGATGTGCCACACTGGTGTGCGGTGTCCACAGTGGGGTGGGCTGTGTGTGGAGTGGGGCCAGGAGCGTGCGGGAACACTCTGCACTTTTTTAAACAGTTGAATTTTGGGGGTGACGTTGGTTAATCACGTAAGTCTCAAGCGTACAGTTCTCTGACACATCACCTGTGAACTGCCTTGTGTGCTCACCACCCAAAGCCTCGTCTCCTTCCATCCTCCACCTCCTTCCCCTCCGGCAACCACCGAGCCGTGGTCTGCGTCAGTGAGTTCGTTCCTTTGTTTTGTTTGTTGCTTTGTTTTACATCCCACACATGAGTGAAGCCATACGGTTTTTGTTCTTTAGCATCCGACTTATTTCACTTAGCACGAAAGGCTCAGCGCCCATCTCAGTGGCTGAAAACGATAACATTTCATCACTTTTTTTTGCCCGTTGTGGGTCCCGGCGTGTGCCGCCCCCTCTTTGCTCACTCAGCTGTGGGAGGGCCTCAGCTACTGTGGGCAATGCTGCCGGGAACATAGGGGCACATGTATGTTTGCGAATAAATGTTTTCACATTTGTCAGGTAGATACCCCCGAAGAGGGGTTGCTGGCTCGTGTGGCAGCTCTGTTGTGAATTTTTTGAGGAACCTCCGTACTGTTTTCCATGGCAGTTGTACAAATTCACATTCCTACCGGCAGTGAATGAGAGTTCTTTTTGTGTCTGTATTCTCTCTAACACTTGCTACTTCTTTTTTTTATTAGTGTTTGAATACAGTTGTCTCCATTTTCCCACCACTACTTTCCCCCGTGTCATTTCTTTTTTTTTAATTTACTTATATTTATCTATTTTTATTGATTATGCTGTTACAGTTTTCCCAATTTTTCTCCCTTTATTCCCCCTCCACCCTGCACCCCAACCATCCAGCTTCCGCCTCCCTTTAGTTCATGTCCATGGGTTGTACATATAAGTGCTTTGAGTTCTCTGTTTCCTCTACCATTTTTTAAATTAATTTTATTGATTATGCCATTACAGTTCTATTTTCCCCCTTCATTCCCCTCCACCCTGTACACCCCCTTCGCCACCATTCCCCCTCCTTTAGTTTATGACCACATGTCTCAAGTTCTTTAGATTCTGTATTTCCCACACTATTCTTGCCCTCCCCCCTATTTTCTACCTACCGTCTATGCTACTTATTCTCTGTACCTTCTCCCCCCTTCTCCTCCTCCCACTCCCCTGTTGCTAACCCTCCATGAGATCTTCATTTCTATGGTTCTGCTCCTGATCTAGCTGTCCTCTTAGTTTGCTTTTGTTTTAGGTGTGGTTGTTAATAACTGTGAGTTTGCTGTTCTTTCACTGTTCATCTTTTTTATCTTCTTTTTCTTAGGTAAGTCCCTTTAACATTTCATAGAATAAGGGCTTGGTGATGATGAACTTGAATTTGATCTTATCTGAGAAACACTTTATCTGTCCTTCCATTCTAAGTGAAAGCTTTGCTGGATAGAACAATCTTAGCTGTAGGTCCTTGGATTTCATGACTTGGAATACTTCTTTCCAGCCCCTTCTTGCCTGTAAGGTCTCTTTTGAGAAATCCGCTGACAGTCTGATGGGAACTCCTTTGTAGGTGATTGTCCCCTTATCTCTTGCTGCTTCTAGAATTCTCTCCTTCATTTTAATCTTGGCTAATGTAATGATGATGTGCCTTGGTGTGTTCCTTCTTGGGTCCAAATTCTTTGAGACTCTCTGAGCTTCCTGGATTTCCTGGAAATCTATTTCCTTTGCCAGATTGGAGAAATTCTTCTTTATTATTTGTTCAAATAAGTTTTCCACTTGTGGTTGTTCCTCTTCCCCTTCTGGTTCCCCTATAATTCAGATGTTGGAGCGTTTAAAGATGTCCTGGAGGTTCCTAAGCCTCTCCTCATTTTTTTGAGTTCTTGTTTCTTCATATTTTTCTCTTTGGTCTTTTTTTTCTTTGTTCTGGTTCACTCCCTTGATTTGAGTCCTAGTTTTTTTTTCCATCACCATTTCTTTCCTGTGCATTTCCCTTCATTTCAATTAGTTTAGCCTTCATATGTTCCTCTAATTTGTGACAAAAATCGACCAGTTCTGTGAGCATCCTGATCACCAGTGTTTTGAACTGTGCATCTGAAAGTTTGGCTATTTCTTGGTCGCTTAGAATTATGGGCTCTGGGGCTCTGAGTTCTTCTTGAGCCATGTTTTGGTCTGTTTGCGCCCATTAAGTATGAGGAGCAGAGCCTTAGGTGTTCACCAGGGCGGGGCCACCCAGGTCACTGGTTGGTGACGCTGTATGTGGGGACGGGGTCAGAGCGGGGAAGTGGCGGTCCCCTCTGCTATTTCCTGCTGCTGGGGCCTGCTCAGTCTGTCTCACTGCTCGTTTCTTCGCCTGGTTTATCTGTGTGCACATGTGTGACCTCGGTCAGCTAGGTGCCTTGCGCCCTCACTGGCTCCGCCTGTCGCAACCCCACACCTGGGATCTGCTAACCGCCGCCTGCGCACCTCAGTTGGATCCGGCAGAGTTTTTCTGCGTGACCTGCTCCACCAGTCGCTGGCTCCACCCCTCTTACCTGTCTGGCTGAGGGTTCGTTGTTGTCAGAATTTGGTATAGTTCAATTTTCTGTGTTTTGGCTGCATTTTTTGTTACTAAATTTTGTTGTCTTTAAACTTGGTTGTGCGAGAAGGCACAGTGTTTCCACCTACGCCTCCATCTTGGCGGGATCCTCCCCCTCCCCCCATGTCATTTCTTGTCTTGCTGATAACCCTTCTAATAGGTGGTATCTCCTTGTGGTTTTGATTTACATTTCACTCATTACTAGTGAAGTCGAGCATTTTTTTAATGTATCTGTTGGCCATCTGTATGTCTTCTTGGGGAAAGTGTTCAGGTCCTCTGCTCTTTTTTAATTGGACTGTTTGCTTCTTTGTTGTTAAGTTACATTAGTTCGTTTTATATTTTAGATATTAACATTAGACCCTTATCAGAGGTATCATTTGCATATATCTTCTCCCCTTCAGTCGGTTCTTTTTTGTTTTGTTCATGGTTTCTTTTGCTGTGCAAAAGCTTTTAGTTTGATGTAGTCCTGCTTACTTATTTTTGTATTTAGTTCCTCTGTCTTTGGGGTCAAGTTCACAAAAACTTCCCTGAAACCAAGGTCCAAAGGTTTAGTACCTATGTTTTCTTCTATGTATTTTATTGTTTCAGCTGTCTTTAATCCATTTTGAGTTAATTTTTGTGTATGGTGTTCAATAGCAGTCTAGTTTTATTGTTTTGCATGTGGCTTTTCAATTTTCCCAACACCATTTATTGAACAGGCTTTCCTTTCTCCATTGTGGGTTTTTGGCTCCTTTGTTGAAAAGTAGTTGCCCACAGGTATTGGTTTATTTCTGGGCTTTCAGTTCTGTTCCATTGGTCTGTGTGTCTGTTTTTCTGCCAATACCATACTGTTTTGGTTATTGTAGCTTTGTAGTGTGGTTTCATACCAGGGAGCATGATACATTCCACTTTGTTCTCTCTCAAGATTTATTTGGCTGTTTGGGGTCTTTTATGTTTCCATCTGAATTTTGGGTTTAGTTATTCTAATTCAGAGAAGAATGCTATTGGTATTTTAATAGGGATTGTATTGAATCTGTATATTGCTTTAGGTAGGAAGGACATTTCAATGACAGTAATCCTTCCAATCCATGAGTAAGGTATATCCTTCCATTTATTTGTTATCTTATTCAGTTTCTTTGTCCAGTGTCTTATAATAGTTTTGAGAGTACAGGTCTTTCACTTCTTTGGTTAAGTTTTTTCCTAGGCGTTTTATACTTTTTGATACAATTTTAAATGGGATTTTATTTTAATTTTTCTTCTAATCATTCATTATTGGTGTGTAGAAATGTAATAGATTTCTATGTATTGATTCTGCATCCTGCAGTTTACTGAAACCATCTATTAGTTCTAACAGTTTTGGGGTGGAGTCTTCAGGATTTTCTACAGTATATGTACTGTCAGGTCACTGCAAACAAGGAGGTTTCACTTCTTCGTTTCCATTTTGGATGCCTTCTCTCTCTGTCTGGCTGCTGTGGCTGGGACTTCAATGCTCTGCTGCCGCAGGTGGGGGTGGCGCCCACCCTGGCCTTGTCACCCATCTTAGAGGAAACGCTTTCGGCTTCTGAAATGAGTTTCTGTTGTAATTTCTGGGGACGAGGTGTGGCTTCCCAGATATGAGGACAAGTCACGCCTTATTTCTTTTCAATTCAACAGTCTAAGATACTCACTCACAGATGGTTTACATCGGTTCCATTACTCTGCCTGATTGAATCCTATCTGCATGGCCTTGTTAAAGCCACTTCCTCCCACTGAAAACACCCTGTCATAATGCCTGCTCATCCTTGTCGTTTAACAGCATTACTGCTGCATCATACCGGCCCTCGAGCCTAACACAACACAGTCAAAACACCCCAGATAACTCAGCAGCCAGTGGTGCTCAGGGACGGAAGGAGCACAGAACTCTGTGGGCTCGAGAGTTTGAAGGACCAGGTCCGTAAATTCCTTTCCGCTCTGTCATATTGTGGGAGCTACTTCACTTAAATGCTCTGTTTACTCTTTTGTAAAATGGGAAGAGCAATAGCCCAGAACCTTACAAAACTGCCTGTGTAATAGGTGCTTTTCGGATGCAGTGAGATAAGCCCTTTGGAGTGTCTGGCAGATTTCCATGTCTGAGTAAAGGAAATACAAGCTGCTGTCACTGCCGTTGTTTACCTGTGGTTCTCCGCTCCCAGGGTTCTCTGTTTTGCTCTCCCGCCCATCCCGAAAGTGCTCGTCCCCTTCCTACTGCCTCCTTGGACTGTTTGAGGTCCTGTTCCTTTGGAAAACTAGTAATTTAGCAACGTGCCCATTCTGATAAAGAAAAATAGATGGCAGTTTGTTTGGGCTACAATCAGTTATATTGAGTTTCTACTTCTAAGAGATACATTTTTAAAGACTTTATTTTTTAGGTTTGTTCACATTTGTACACGTAAATGTATTTAAACGTCTTTGCATTTTTAAAGCTAGATGCTTGCTTAAAAGCATAGTCTTTATCTCAAGGTGAGGCTTAGGAAAGGCTGTCCTCCCTCGAGTCGCCGTCCCCTGGAACAAGGTGGACCCTGCACCGTGCCCCCAAGCAGCCACTCCGAAACACTCCAGCATCCCTTTTTAAAGCTTTTGCTATTTACTGCTCTATTTTCCTCATCTCGACTCTGCCCTGACACATAATTTATAATTTATTGTGTAGCTATATCATTATGTAGTACTGGTTTAAAACTACATTAGAGCTTTAAGAAATAATACAAGCGTGTGTTTATCATTAGTAAATAATGCATGAAGGAGTAATTATTCTTGTGTGTGTGTGTGCATGAGCCTGGAAATTGCTACAAGTATATACAGTTTTTATTTCCAGTGCTGTCTCACCCTTGATTGTATAATGAATAATGCATTTCTTACTATGACACCTGGTTTTTAATCTTTTACATGGAACATTAGAAAGGAAATCAATGTCTTCACTTTCAGAAATTTTCTGTGCCTGCGGCATCACATAAAGCCACGAATAAAGGCCCAGATGTTCAAGTCTTATTTCTTAAGCTAATTTAAAGGCGCTCACGGGTTTTTCTAAGGAGTTAAGGTAGCAGATCGAGACTTCCTCAGAGTTTTGCTTCTCAGAGACAGAGCCGATCCACCTCCTTCGGACCCTGTCTTATCCGTCCGGTAACGAAGGCGTGCAGAGGAGGCGTGTGTGCAGTGTGACCGCCCCGGCCCGTTGCTGCTGGGGGTGAGCCGCAGACGTGGCGAGCCGCACGGAGAACCTTCCGTTCAGCCTTTCATGTTCATTCCGTGAAGCATTCAGAGCAGAGGAAAAGGCAGGGGATATTTGTGTGTTTTGCTCATCACCTGCCCAGTTAGGCCCTTGGCCTGAGATGGTCTCTCAAATGGTTCCTGTGAACATCTATCCAAGCTTCTCAACTTCCATTTTAATTCATAATAAGAAGGATTTTGCATTTTGTTTGCCAGTGGTGGTGGTTCTCGTCACCATAGAGAATGCGGAATTTGGTCCGTATATGTTTGTTGGTCATTGACTAACCTTGCATCTGTCTAGTACAAAACATTTTCAAGAAAGTCAAAGCAGGCATGACTGGTTAAAAGGAAACTTTTTGAAAGAGAGCTGAGTAAATGTGGATGTAACAGTTAGATGTTTGGCTAGTTGACCGTTTTGAAAGGAGTAGCTTGTTTCTGACATAATAGTTGAAAAGAGTTGGGTGAAAAGGCAGGTCTCCTGGTTGGTGCGTCTCACAGTTACTTATTCAGCTTGGAGACTGCGCCATTGGGGACTTTTGGCACCTTCTGTATTCCTTGATTCCTACGCTTTTTTTTGCATCCTCTCCCGAATTGGACAAGAGTCACTCTCAGGATGATGTATACTTTTTTATTTTTAAAGATCTTATTTATTTATTTTTAGAGAAAGGGGAGGGGACGGAGAAATAGAAGGGGAGAAACATCCATGTGCAAGAGACACATCAGTCCATTTCCTCTCACACACCCCTAACCAGGGGCCTGGCCTGCAACCCAGGCATGTGCTCTGACTGGGAATCAAACCAGCGACCTTTCGGCCGGCAGACCGGCACTCAATCTCCTGAGCCACACCAGCCAGGGCTGATATTTTTAAGACACTTAAACTTTTCTAAGGTCTTTTTAACTGTTTCTCTTGTTACGTCATAGTCATGTCATTTCCCCTCAGAATGCACAGGTCCACATTTAGGGTGGGTCTGTTCACACGTTCATTTGTGCATTAATTCATTAGGTTCTTATTAAGTATGTTCCACCTACGCCAGACGTACTCCTAGAGGCCAGGGGACTCGGGGACACGCTCGGTGTCCGTCTCTGCAGGGCGTCAAGTCTGCCCGGAGACCGAGTATCAAACCCCTAATCATCCTGCTGCCCTGTGACAGTCCCCGAGGAGATGCAGACCCGGTGCTGGGGCAGCTCAGAGAAGGGCGGGCCTGGGAGTTTGGGAAGCTGTAGTTCATTTCTAACTTCTCTCTGTTCTAGCAGAAATTTGGGCCATCATGGAAAAGAGTATTGCTTTCTCCAGGAATTTTACTGCAGGTTTAAAACTTAAGAAGTAAAGATAGTATTTGAAATTGTTACAAACAACGTGTTTCATGTTTCTCCCACAAAGGTTGTGTTTGCTGGTTAGAATTAAGCGACACTCTGTTTGGTTCAGTCTGTTCCCTGGGACCATGTAAAAAATGATAAATATAGTAAATACATTCTCTCCTTCCGCCACTAGAATACAAATAAGTTCCTTGGAAACGTAACACATTATACTAAAATTGCAAGTATTTTATGTCTACTTTGTCATGTGGCATCTCCAGCTCCTACACCTGTCTAGCACATAGTAGGTGCTCAATAAATACTTGTTCACTGAATCAAACATTTTTGCTTCAGTGGCTCTATATCCGGTGCACATTCTTCCTCGGGAACTGCACCGGGAGCTGAAACATCCCAAGTGGATACGGGCTTACTGTATCAGACAAAGACTGAACTCCTGAGTGCGGAGGCTTGTCCCTAGTCAAAGACACTCATTTCTCACTGTTCATCTTCCTACACGTGAACTAATAAAGGGAGCCCATGTGCCTTAGTCTCTTTCTTGTTCTACACTACAGCAGGTGGTTGGGCTTTATGCTCTTCTCTTGAGAATCCGTGTTAAAATACTTGTGTTTTTTCCTTTGTCTACAGCAAAGCAAGGACTCTGTTTGAAAAAAATGCTGCCCCGATCTTGCACTTGTCTGGCATGGATGTGACCGTCGTCAAGGTGAGGCCTGCTGCGGAGCGTCGGTCTTGTCCCGGCTGCCGCAGCTTATGAGGCAGCCTCTCCTCTCGGCCTGTCCGCAGAAATCAGTGTCGCTGAAGACACGGACAGAGAGATCGACGCTGTGTGCTGGCTCCAACAGTGAAAGCCGTCTCATTTCCTTAGAGCTTCTCATTGTCAGAGGAGGGTTAGACGGAGGCAGAGACCTGGCTCCTTTCATGTGAAAGTAGGAGGTGGAATTGCTGTCTCTCAGAAGATGAAAATTGTTGTAGCTGTAAGAATTCCTTTTTGAAAAAAACAAAACCTGCAAGTTTGAGTGAGTAATTTCCTGCTAGTTCCACAGACCAGTAAACATTTTTTCCTCTGGTGAGGAATTTTAAATGGTAAAGCTTCAGAATTTGCAAGGTTTAGGTAAGAAGAAAAGGTAATAAAATAAGTTCGAGGGCATTGTGTTATTTCAGAAGATGCTTCAGGGTACCTCTTTGTTGGTTTTTAAGTGACGTGTGCCTAGTATGTACGTGGATATATGTAGTGGATGGAAACCATTGGTACATGTTTGTGAGTCTGTAGCTAACCTGTTTTAAACATTACACACTTCCATTAAGTCATAGAGATTAAAAGGTCATTCAGCCCAACTTCCCGTGCACTGTTCACCTCTCTTCCCCAGCGTGTCTGTCTGAGAAGTAGGGTTCCAGGTGTCTGTCTCCAGGACTGAGTGGGGGGGAACAAACTAACATCTGTGTAAGTTCCTGATGTGCAGATTCCAGACTCTGTGTATTAGAGATCAGAGGCTGGTTACTTAAGACTGATATTGTTTGTTCCTGGGATGTTTGGTGGAACTCACACGTAAAACCATCTGGGCCTGGAGCTTTCTTTGAGGGATTAAAAAAAATACGTGTTAAATTTTTTTAATGGCTCTAGAGGTACTCAAGTTCTGTTTCTTCTTGAATTAAGTTTGGTAAGATGAATTTGTCAAGGAGTTTGTTCATGTCACCAGTGTTTTCAGATTAATTGTTCATACATCCTCTCTTGACCTTTTAGATTCCTGTAACATCTCATTTTTTTGCTTCATATAGTTTATTTGTCCCCTTGTTTTTTCTTTCTCTTGATAGTCCTGTGAGAGGTACATGAACATACATACTTCATCCTTGCCAAGAGCAGCCTTTGGTTGGTCCTGTCACTTGTGTTTGTTTCATTAATTTCTGGTTTTTCTCTGTTGTCCCCTTTTTTCTCCTTTCTTTGGATCTTGCTTTCCTGCTGTCCCTTTCTGACACTGTGACGTGGATTCTGTGTCATTAATTCGCACCCCTCAGTCCTGCCGTACATGGTAGAGCTCTGCGTTTTACTCTGCTTCTTCAGCTGCATTCTATTCTATAAGTGTAGATGTGCAATTTTTTCATTTCCAAGTATTTTCCAGTGCTCATCATGTTTCTTGTTTAACCTATGTGTTATGTGGGCATGTTTTTAATTTCTAAATTTAACGTTTTTCCAAATCCTTATCATAATGATTTCTGATTTTACTGTGTTTTGGTCAGAGAGTGAAGTGTATGTAACTCCAGTATTTTAAAACTTATGGAGCCTTGCTGTGGCCTGCTGCTGGTTTGTTTCACCTGTGCCTCACGTGCGCCTGGAAGGGATTTGCGTCAGCTGTTGGAGGTCAGGTTCTGACCGGGTCTGTTACGTCAGATCTGTCATGTGGCTCTGATCTTCCGCGTCCTCACCAATTCTTCCTTCTGTTCTGACTGCAGACTGTTGAGGGACAGAGGTGTTAGAGACCCCCACCGTAATCGTGGGCTTGTCTGTTTCTCTACATAGTAATGTCCATTTTTGCTGTCGATACTGTGGGACTGCACTCGAGTCTCAGTTTATTTTCCTTGTACTTTGACCCCGGCGTTTAGTGACTCTCTGCAGCACTGATCCTGAACTTTGCCTGAGTCCACCTTACCTGTTAGGATTAGTCACTGCACCAGCTTACTTTGGGTTGTTTTTTTGCCTAGTGTAACTTGTACATCTTTTTACTTTCAGCCTTTTGTATTTTTACATTTTATTTTTTTAAAGATTGTTTTTATTTTTAGAGGGGAAGGGGGGGAGGAAGAGAGGAAGAGAAACATTGAGGTGTGAGAGAGACATGGATCAGTTGCCTCTTGCACGCTCCCAGCTGGGGACCTGACCCATAACCCAGGCATGTGCCCTGACTGGGAGTCGAACCAGAGACCTTTCAGTTTACAGGCCGGCACTCAGTCTACTGAACCACACCAGCCAGGACATGTATTTTTATATTTTAGGTGTGTCATTTGTAAAGGCATCAAAACAGGATCTTTTAAAATTCATTCTCTCTCTTTTTTTTGTCTTTTGACTGGACCACTTAATCCAGGAACACTTACTATAATTGTTGCTGTTTAGATTTATATCTATACTGGTTACCTATGGCTTTATAACAAACTGCCTCAACGACCGTTTTTCTGCTTCGAGTCTGTCGGTCAGCAGGCTGGGAGCAGAGCTGTTCCTCCGCCGGTCCAGCCCGGGCTCCTCGGTGACATGTATTTTTCATGGTTTCATAGCTCATTATTTTTCTCACTGACTAATATTCCATTGCACAGTTTGTTTGCCTTTTTTTTACCTATTGATGGACCTCTTGGTTGCTTCCAATTTTGACAGTTACTAATAAAGCTGCTGTGAATATTCATGTGCAGCTTTTCGTGTGGAGACAATTTTTCAACTCATTTGGATAAATACCTAAGAGTGTAATTGAATGTGCTTAGCTTTGTAAGAACCTGCCAGGTTGCATTTGAGGTCGCGCTTCCCAGCATGTCATCAGTTTGACTCAATAAACTTCTATAAAAACTTAAAAACAGTGAAATAAACTGCCAAACCACCTGTTCAAAGTGGCTGTGCCATTTTGCATTCCCACCAGCAATGAATGAAATTTCCATCGCTCCACATCCTTGTCAGCACTTGGTGGTGTCGGTGTTCGGGGTTTTAGCCGTTCTGATGGGTATATACATACAGGGGTGGGCAGAAGTAGGTTTATCTGCAGTTCTCCAGTGACATGGGCTGTTGACCACCTTTTCATTTGCATGTTTTCCATCCGCGTATCTTCTTCATCAGGTGTTAGTTCAGATCTTTGCTCTTTTAATTAGGTTATTTCTTGTTTGTTTTCTTATTGTTGAGTTCCAGAGTTGTTTGTATCCTTTAACAGATACGTGTTTTGCAAATATTTCTTCTTATACTGTCTTTAAAGCTGTTCTTTAATTGTCTTAATAGTGCTTTTCACAGGGCAGAAGTTTTTAATTGTAAGGAAGTCCAACTTATCAATTTTTCTCCCATGGATCTTTTGGTTGATTTATCTAAAAGCTCATTAACAAACCCAGGATCTAGATCTTCTATGTTTTACAGGGTTTTTAAAAAATTTACATTTAAGTTTATGACCCATTTTGAGTTAACTTTGCAAAAGGTGTAAGCTTAGTGTGTTGAATCATCTTTTTTGCATCGTTACAGCACTTTTTTATCCTCCCTTTTTCGGTGCATTTGGAATTTTCATCTGAAGATCAGACAGAGCCTCAAATGTGTTGCGCCTGTTAATGTAACCTTTTAAATTAGGGTCTGTTAAATCAGTCAAGATCTTTTTGCATTTTGGTTCTTTCCTCCATGCACTTATTCTCATTGATTAGTTTTTTGCAAATGCTTATTGAGTGCCCACTGTTAGGTAAGCCCTGTCTAGGTATTGGGGATACAGTCAGAACAAAACGATCTTTTCCCAGCTCTCCTGAAAGAGCTCCCATGCAAAGTGTGAAAGGAAGGGGTGCAGAAAGGAAACTCACAAATAAACATTTGGTTTGTCCAATGGTGATGAATGCCAAGGAGAAAAATCAAGCAGGGTAAAGAGACAAGTATAGTGGAGGCATTAGGTTAGTTCAGAAGGCCAAGGACAGAGACCCGAAGGGACTGAGTGAGCGACGCGGCTGCTCCAAGTCGGGAAGAACTCGGGTCGAGCACACTGCTCGGTGAGGGCAATGGTGCACTTGGGCGTTTAGGGAGACTGGGGGGGCAGTGTGCCTGGAGTGGAGTTAGCTGGGGGAGACCAGAGAGAATGAGCTGGGAGACCAGAGAAGGAAGGAGGGGCAGGGTTATTGCTTTGTCTCGAAGAGGTAAGCAGTAAATTACTTTCTCCTCCGTTGTTGGTAAAGAGCTGTGCAGGAGGAGGCTGAAGGGGGAGCCCCAAAGAGAAGTCACTGAGAACCTGCCTGCACACTGTTGTCACTTCACTGAGCACCGCACTTTGAGTAACTATATGTTACTTGGTAACTAATGTCATTGTATTCTAACACATTGTTTCCACATTGTCCCACCTGGTCCCCAAGGATATTATCCAGTCACTGGGCAGGTGCCTTGCTGAAAACCAGTTACAGTGTCGGACAAGTCTCCCAGACACACCAATCTAGTCATGTCAGGGAGGAGGAGGAGGAGGAGGAGGAGGAGGAGGTGGCGGCTTCTGAGAGGCTTCCTTCTTAGTGGCCCCATGCCGATTCCCAAGAATCATCCATTTCAGGGTGCTCACAAACCATTCTTTTAATTAGGATCGGCATATTTCGTTACCGAAATATTTCAAAATATATAAAACCAGTCACTTCAATTTTCAGAATAAAAGTAGGACCATTGATCATAAAATTAAGTGGTGTTAGTTCAGGGACTTTCTCTTTCCTTCGTGTGAACGGACCTGCTGGCTCAGAGGCTGTAGCTGAAGTCCAAGTCTCTGACTTCTACCTGTGGTGTGTCTAGTGCAGCGTCGGTTGCAGGGAGTTGTTTGCATCTCTCAGAATTAGTTGCACTATGTCTATTAAAATTTGGTGTTTGGTTTTAGAGGCGGTGGCTCCGGTAGTTCATTTACTTTACACATATAGCTGAAATGGAATATTATCAATAAAAATGGTGATGCCTAGGTACGTCGTGACTAATTTGGGTCGTCCCTGTAGTTTATGTACAGTATTTCTGTCTACAGTGGTAACCTCCTTTGACTGAGTATAGTACCAATCATGAACGGTTCCCTTGCTCATTGCTTTGCATACGCCGTACAACAGTATTATGGGGAAGCTCTGATTATCACCCCCCCAGCACACAGCGTGCTTTGCCGTGTCTAATATGCACCCGCGTATAATGTGCACCCACATTTCTGGCCCAAACTTTCAGGAAAAAACTTCTGTTTTAATTTTTTAAATTCATTATTTATATTCAGATACTTGTTTGTATTATAAAGGAATTTTAGCACTAACTTTTTAACATATTATGGTACAAGAAATTTTATGTAACATAATTACAAAACACAAGAAGGGATATGAGGTATTTCAGGTACTGCCCATTGATGTTCCCCTCAAAAATTTGGGCAAAGAAAGTGCACATTATAATACATGGCAAAATATGGTAATTTTGTTGATAAGGAAATTAAGACTCCGAGAGTTTAGAGCCACTCAGCTAAAAAAGCAGCAGAGTTGAGACTTCATGTCAGTCTCTCGGGTCCCAAATCTGTGCTCTTTTCATTCCACTGCTCCTTCTCATTTACGTTTCCACTCGACTCCCTGCCTTCGGAGGAAAGCCACTGGCGAGTGATGTCATGGAGTCCACACTGGACCGGGGATGGCCCTTTGAGGAGCTCACGGTGCAACTGAGATCAGGGGAGGGGCTGACGGACGGTTTAGGAGGTCCCTTCCGGCTCCAGGGGCATAGAGCTGTGAAAACCACGTATACTGCTTTGTTAGCTTCAGTGGTTCATGTCTGTCAATCATACAGAATTTAAGAGAAGACTCAGCATAAAACTTTTACAGAAAATAACCTGTATTTTAGACCTGTCACCAGTCGCCCTGGGATGATACATTTACCGAAGGCGTCCTTTGTGTTTCAGACAGATTATGAGGGCCAGGCCAAGAAACTGCTGGAGCTGATGGAGAACACGGACGTCATCGTTGTGGCCGGAGGCGACGGGACGTTGCAGGAGGTGCGGCCGCAGTCCTTCCGAAACAGCTTTGGGGGGCGGGGCGGGCAGAAAGTTGCCCTTAGAGCCGTGGCATATGGTGGGCATCGTTTAAGAAAATGACTCCTTCCTCTCCGGGTTTCAGGATCATTTCCAGACAAGCACAGCATGGCATTTTCCTCATGTGCCCTTTGTTTTAAAGGCCGATAAATTTGAAAACAGCAGGAACGATGGTGGCGGGCACGATAAGCTTTTCATAGTTTGAAGACCATTAGTTATGGGAATCATAGTTTCAATTGCGAGGAATGTTTCTTAGGCAGCAAACAAAGTTTCCCTTAACAGAGGCACCTGTTTATTCTCACTTCATTTCTGTCACACGTTCTGTGACCTCTGTGTCCGATGGCTGGCCCCGCCTTTGTTCTCCAGTTCCACGTCCCGATGCCCACTTGGGCCCAGTAAGGGCTGTGAGTGTATTGCCTTGAAGAGCTCTTTTCCGAGCAGTAGACTGGAAACTCCCCTGGATGTGGGGAACCGGCGAGGAGCTGAGCCCATGGCGCAGGCCGCCGCCCTCCGGGCGGTCTGCGTCCTGTGGCCGCAGTTCACACCGCACCTCGCTCCGGTCGCCTTCCGCCCCGTGTGGTGGTGTCACCGGTGCTCAGGCCTCCGGAGCTGGCCCCACAGACAGGGCACTGTCCTGGCTTTGTTCGGCTGAGCAATTATGTGAGCCTAAGTAAGCTGCTTTAAAAAAGCTGTGCTAATGATCTCGTAATTGTTTTAATGGCTTTTTAATGAAGTGTGAAGAAGACTGATAAGCATGTCAGCACAGAGGTAGATGTCACGATGGCCCCCTTTAATCCTAAAAGGCACGGAGGCAGGGGGTGAGGGAGGAGACTGGCATCAGCCTTTACTCCATGAAATCTCCTTAAGGAAGATTCCAATCGTGTATTTGGTATAATCCAGCATAAAAAATACGCCCTCATGAAAAAGGCATTAGAGGGAAATGTACCAAAATATCAACAGCAGACTGATATTTGTTGATTGGTGGTGGCTCTGCAGAGCGGGTTTATGAGGAAGTATTTTTTCCCCAGGTATTGTTCAGTTTTCACAAGACACAGGGCACTAGGTTTTAAATGTAAAAGTGAATTGTGTAGAAATGCAGATGGAACACACCTTTCAGTGGAGGCCCACGGTCCCCTGGTCTCCCCGCTCACTGATGAGCAGCGGTTTTCTCTGAGGGTGGCCAGGCCGGTTCTTCTCCCAGTGCACTTGACCGTGGCGAACTGGGGCCCTTTGGGTAAACGATGTGGGCGGCACATTTGTGCCCATCTTCCAGACCGGAAAACATGATTTTGCTAATATAATGTGGGGAGTTTAGAATTCTTTTACCTTAGTCTTTATTGTACTAGGGGCCTTAGGTCAAGAATAAAATTTAGTTTAGCTCTGACCCTGTCGGAGAATCCTATGCATTTTAAGAGCCAGTACATCTTTGGACATCATTTCCAGGGAGAGAACAGGAGCAAGTGTGTGGTCCATGAAAGTAGAATCCGGTTCTTTTATGATAAAGGAAGTACATGTTGTCCATAAATTTTTTCTTTAACATTTTTAGGTTATTACTGGAGTTCTTCGAAGAGCAGATGAGGTAAGCCTTTAAGAAGACTCACTGCATTTCAGCTTTTACATTTCTGTTCTCTCTTTACTTCCTCCTTGTACCTTTTTGCCCATTTTCTACTTGAAGGTGGACATAGGTTGTGTGCCCGTGGATTTCAGAAAGACAAGCGTGGCTCCCGTGTCCGAGGGCACTGGGTTACCGTGGTGGGCTCTTGTGCCTTGGGAATCCAGAGAATCCCAGAGCTTTTACCAAGAGTTCTTTAAAATACAACTTTTCTATACAGTCTTTTTTCAAAGGATTCCTTTATAAATAAATTGTGGCATATTCCTATACTGGAAGGCACACAGAGGTTAAAATGAATGAACTGCATTTATGAATATTTACATGCTGAAATCTAAAAAATATTAAGTAAAAAAGGCAAGTTGCCAAAGTATGTTATACATTTTTATGAAGTTTTATAGTTTAGAAAACAAGCATCCTGTTAAGGATGCTGCACATGGTACAGTGAGGATGGAGAGACCCCACACGGCCTCCTCAGGAGAAGGGCCCCCCTGTGGTGCAGGGAGAGGGAAGGGGAGGGTGAGGGGGGCCCCCGTTGTATCTCTGTCATTTCATTTCCTGCGCCATCTGAAGCAAATATGGCAACATGTAACATTTGTTAAATGTGGGTCATGGATGTGTGAGTGTAACACTATTTGAGACATTTTCTACAAGAATTTAAAATACATTGCAAATAAAACAAGAAAGAAGACCCTTCCCAGTCTCTTTGGTAATCACAGTACATCATGTTCAAAATAGTCCTTGGGCCCTTACAGTGTCTCTTTACTCTGGTCGCTCATTAAATTGGTGGCTGTCCCCCCACCTCCTCCCGCTCAGACTCGCTGACTCTCCACCACATTTGGACTGGGGGTTGCTTATGAGGCACTTTCACCTGTCACCAGTTACTGTACTTGGCTTAGATACTCCGAGTTGGACTTTATCTGCAGCCCCTTTGAACAGCGTGACGACATAATACAGCCTCTGTCACAATTGTCTGTCTGAACCAGTTGTTACTAACAAGTACTAGAATATTGCTTTCAAGTTCAGAGTCATGCTGTCTTCATGGACTGCTTCGTTTTACAAGCTGCTTACTCAGTATTGTCCGATGGCCGGTCTAGGGAGGCGAAGGGAGACCGGGAGGGGGGCCCAGGTCACTTCCAGTCACTTGTCAAAAGAGGCACGTCTGTGCCTGTCCGATTTTCTGACCATAACGGTAACACTTGCCTTTTCTTTTCCTCCCAGGCCACCTTCAGTAAGATCCCCATCGGGTTCATCCCCCTGGGGCAGACCAGCAGTTTGAGCCCCACCCTCTTCGCCGAAAGTGGAAACAAAGTCCAGTAGGTTGTCCCTGTGGGGTGGGAGCGTCCGTGGCTGAGCGAGCCTGGGAGTGGGCAGTTCACACGTGGGATGTGATACTTGTTCTGCACTTTGATGGCCTGAAAGCTCCAATCACTGAGGACCTGGACCAGAGGTTAACCTGTCTCTTCCCCCGGTCAGGTTGTGGGACTCCTGTGATCTAATCCAAATCCCCAGGCCAGGTACAGAGGTGATGCTGATGTCCTTCTGTCCGTTACAAAGAGATCCTCCCCAAACTGTGTTCACGCTTCTGCGGTGTAAGAGTCTCTAGTGAAAAACAGATTTGCACTAATCATTTGTCTGTTTTAAATGTACACGATGACAAACAGCAAGCTCTTCTGAAAACTGAACCAGTAGTCTCGGATTTATTATCTGGTGATATAAGTAGCTCAGACAGCAACATGGAGTTACACCCTCGGGGCAGTGCCTGCGGAGGAAGGTGCAGGGAGAAAGCAGGCGGTGGGGGCTGGGCAGCACGGACGCCCACGTTCAGGTGCTGTGAGTCGAACAGTGTCCTCAGGAGTCAGGCAGGTCGCTGCTGCTGTTGCTCATTTCTGTCCAGAGCATTAATACACCAAGCTCTTGGCTTTTGAGTAGATAGGAATCTTGAATTTGAGTCTTGAATGTGACATAATGAATAATATAATCTTGAGCAAATTGCTTCTGGCCTCACTGTCAGTTGCCGGATCTTTAATGAAAGCACTGTCACACCTGAGGTGGGGTCAACAGAAAAATGAATAATGAACTTATCCATCATTGAATAAATTAATTGTTGAATGAATCAGAATCTTATGATTTCAGATTATAACCTTCTAGAATCGATAACAATAATTCTCAGGTGATTTTCTTCTTTGGGAATTTGTTTTGGCCAATTTTGTGGTTTTATTTTTGCTGTTGTAAATTTTAAGAGTCATCTTATATGTTTTTACAATTCTACATTTTTAAAAGACTTTATTTTTATTTATATTTAGAGAGAGAGGAAGGGAAGGAGAGAAACATCAATGTGTGGTTGCCTCTTGTGCGCCCCCAAGTGGGGACCTGGCCTGCAACCCAGACATGTGCTCTGACTGGGAATTGAACCAGCGACACTCTGGTTCGCAGCCAGTGCTCAATCCATTGAGTTATGCCAGCCAGAGCGTCAATTCTACATTTTTAAAAATAAAAACCTGGGTCCATATACCAAACACTAGGCTCACACGGAGCCATACAGCAGACCTTCACTGAAAGGCTTCTTGTACTCCCAGCCTTAATCTCACGGGGACAGCTCTTCGCCAGTCACCCCGAGGCCGGTCCAGTCTGCCGAACTTTGTGTTCCCAGTGTAGGCTTTCCAAGGGGTAGTAGACATGACCACGAATTACTGTTTTGCTCATCTAAGATGAATCCTATCCAGTTTGGGTCCTGGTTACTTTAAAGAGCTTGTCTTTCCCTTGGTATGAATATAGATGTTTGAACCACTTAGCCAACACTCCCAGGTGTGTCGGTGCTCCAGAAGGTGGTAGGCCTTGCTCCTCAGAGAACCCCTTGCCTTTCCAGAAGCCAGCATGTGCTCCCCATGGCCACCCGAGGTCGTCATGGCCCTCGGTTTGGGAGAAGCTGATCTTCCTCTATAGTTAAGCCAACACTATTGCTGCTTCTATTTGTAACTTAAACATTTAGAAAACTCACTGTAGAGCACACCCCAGGGCTCTTCGGTAATTAGTCTGCCCTGGGTTCAGAACTGTGCAGACCTCTTAACATGGCAGATGCCCGAGACTATTGCAAAGAACAAAGCATCGCTTTCTGTACTGCGGTCAAGATCGGCGGTACCAGGATTAGTGGGGACAGAGAAGGAATCGGGAATGTTGCAGGGACCCGATCACAAAACAGTAGCCATTACGCGCTGTAATGCCGATTGATTTAGAACTTGCAGGTATTGCTGGAGAATGATGAATTTAAGGTTGCATTTTAGCCGTCTTCCACAAAACAGTTTTGGGGGGAAAAGGACTACGAAAGGGTTTCTTTAGTTGCAGCGTTTGGTTTTAAGGTCCGTTTCTCAGAACTACTTCCTAAGCCCGTTGATGTGCTCGCCACTCCTCAGAGCAAGCACAGAGCTTCACCGGCCTTTTCCAAGAGCTTCCTCCATAGTGAACATGCCCATTCCAGCCACACAGGCCACCGTGCTTCCTGCTTTTCCTTAATTGAATGTCGTTTTCTAAAGGGCCTCCTTCTTCATGGATAGCATCTGTATTGGAAGGGAAAAAGTGGGGTACAGGCATTTCAGTGAAGAAGTATGAGACAGTAAAAGTAGGTGGTTTCGTGTGTTCCGACGTGCTTCCTGAGAAACCCAGAATGTTACCTAAGCATTTGCGTTGACGTGTGTATTTGGGGGTCATGAAGTATCTGAAGGTGTGTGTAACTTTGTGGGCAATGCCCATTCTAGTGGGTATGACTCCTGACTCGGGTGTGTACATTTTCAGCTGGGCCGCGCTGATAGGGACGTCTGTGGGACACAGGTCTTAGGGGTGGGCCTGCCCCTGGGAATCCCCGGTGACCTGACTGTGTCCGAGGCGGCCTCACAGGGTGAAGGGAGTGCACCTTTGGGGAGAAGACCTGAAGTCGACGTGGTCTTGCCACAGGCTTGCTCAGTGATCTTAGGAATTTTATTTAATCTCTCTGAACCTCATTTTCTCCCCCTGTATTTGTCAAATGCACAGTGATTGTACTTATTTCAGAAGATTGTTTAAAAACCAAAATAAAGACCAGCTGGGTAAATATGTAATCATGCTTAGCAAGCTACACAATACAGTGAAGATTTTATGCCTATTACTGAAAAATTTTTTAGGATGGAAAATAGTAAATAACAAATAGGATGACTGTATAATTACTGAGATTAGATTTTATAATTAAATTCTCTTGCAAACTGTTTCACCTAGAAAATATTTTTTTTTAAAAAGGAAAGAACAGCCTTGGCTGGTATGGCTGAGTAGATTGAGCTGGGCCTGCAGACCAAAGGGTTGCCAGTTATATTCCCAGTCAGTGCACATGCCCGGGTTGCAGACCAGGTGCCCAGTAGGGGGCGTGCGAGAGACAACCACACATTGATGTTTCTCTCTCTCCTTCCCTTCCTCTCTAAAAGTGAAATCTAAAAAAAAAAAGTACTATATTGAAATAAAAAATGTTCTGTTTAAAAAAAAGGAAAACATTTTATAGGTATTCCTGTCAGTTACCATGAAGCGGTAACTTGCCTATCAAATACACATTCTTTTTTTTTTTTTTTTAAGATTTTATTTATTTATCTTTAGAGAGGAAGGGAAGGAGAGAGGGAGAGAAACATCAATGTGTGGTTGCCTCTCGTGCATCCCCTGCTGGGAACTGGCCTGCAACCCAGGTATGTGCCCTGACTGGGAATCGAACCGCGATTGTCTGGTTCCCAGGCTCGCGCTCAATCCACTGAGCTACACCAGCCAGGGCTTCAAATACACATTCTTAATCAGAACTCTATAGGGCAGCCCTGGCTGGTATGGCTCAGTGGATTGAGCACGGGCCTGCAAACCAAAAGGTCTCCAGTTCAATTCCCAGTTAGGGCACATGCCTGGATTGTGGGCCAGGTCCCCATTTGTAGACATGGGAGAGGCAACCCATTGATGTATCTTTCCCTCTTTTTCTCCCTCTCTTCCCCCTTCTAAAAAAAACTTAAATTAAAAAAAGGAACTGTACAGAGCAGAATAAACTAGGAGGGGCAGTATTAGGAGAAAAGCTGCTCTTTTTTGAATGGAAACTAATTTCTGAATAACTCCTGTCTTGCAGCTGTACTTAAACTCCAGATACAATACGTTTTACTTCAATACTAATGACAACTATATATATTTTTCTAAAAGATATACAGCAGTAATAAAGGCAATAGAATGCTAACATTGCTAAGCTTTTAGAAAAACCTGAACTGCTTAGGGATAAGTGTAAGAAACTATGTGTAAGATTTATACGGTGAAAACTACAAAACACTGAAGAGAGACTCAGACCTAAATGTGTGGGAAGATACCTGTGTTCACACAATTCACGGCTCGATATTAAGCTGCTGGTTCTTTCTGAATGGACCCATAAAGTCAGCACAGTCCCAGTCACAGTTCCCGAGCGAAGACTTGTTGAAGAAATTGGCAAGTAGAGTCTCAAATTCATGTGGAAAAATAAAGGACTAGAGGAGACAGGATAATTTTGGGAAAGCATAAACGTTTTTGAGGACTTACCCTATCTGATTTCAAGGTTTGCTCTAAAGCTACATTAACCCAAGGCAGCCTGGTGTCGGCAAAAGAGGAAACAGATCAGTAAAAAAAAAAGTGTCTGGAGTTAGGCCCACACATACGTGGACGCTTGGTTTCTTGTTTTGTTTTGCTTTGCTTTGCTTTGCCTTTGAAAAGGCCTTCGGGGAATTCAATGGAGAAAATGAACACAGCTCAGTAGTGGAGGGTTATGGGGAAGGACCGCGTCTAGGCTGGTGAGGGCAAGCGGTGACGGTCCAGCTGAGGTCCTGAGGGCGGGAAAAGCCAGCGACGCGGACGCTGGGAGGCAGGCTGGGCCAGGAGAGGTTTGATGTGGGTTCACACCTTCTCCCTGCTCCAAGGGCAGATACCTGGTTGTCCAGCCACTTGGTGACTTATTGTTTCTTTTGCTGACTCTCTGTGTGCACTAATGTGTGTCTGACCTTGGCTCCAATAGAGCATAAACTCGAGAACGGTTTCTAAGCCTGGCGTGGTTTCCCGCCCTGCGTTGATGTTGATAGACCACGCCTTTTTCACCTGTGGATTTCAGCTGACTGTCAGAATGTAAACGGGAAGGGTATTGTGTCTTTGAACGAAAAAGTCGGCAATTAAAATGAAGTACACCCTAGTAATCTTGGGAAATAAGAGAACTGTGTCTTGGGTTGTGGATTATATTTTACTGAGATGACTTTGACACATCCTCTCCTTCAGTGACCCTCGATGGTGGTTAGGGCAATGAGAAATACTTCAGTAGAATGATCGAAACACATTCTGTTGTCACCCATTTGAGTAGCAGGATATTTTCCAGTAATCAGGATCAGGCGTAATGTGGAGACTCAGTGAATGTCAAGTAATTAAATGGTTGGTACCTGGTATAAACTTCTCTGTGCCAAAGCCTTCCCTTCGAGTCTGTACCAGAGCCTTCCCCCGAATTTTTTTAGTAATTCTTTTATACATCTTGGTTCTGTTTTCTCAGAGCATCTTAAAGAACTGTCTTTTTATCCTGGGCCAACTGTTAGTGCTGTGGGCGGGGGGGGGGGGAGGGAGAGAGTGTGTGTGTGTGTGTGTGTATGTGTGACTGTATGTGAGTGTGTGTGTGGCGGCGGGGAGGTGTTGCTTATTTTTCACAACACGACCACTTCCTCCTTGGTGTCTTGCAGATGTATTACTGACGCTACACTTGCCATCGTGAGAGGAGAGACAGTCCCACTTGACGTCCTGCAGATCAAGGTACAGTCCTCTCCTGAGTTTGAAAATATTCACAAAGCAACACACGTAAAGAAAGCAGAATGTCACTGTTCAGCTGCGATGATGAAAACAACAGTCCCCCTTCTTACCCTTTCCTACCCCAAGTAAAGCTCCCCGGGGAAAAATAATTCCACCCGTTTATTCTGCTTATCACCAGTAAGTGTGCTAATGATGCTCCTTTTAAAAACTGCGGTTAAAAACAGACATAGAATTTACTGTGGTCGCCATTTTTAAGCACACAGCCCAGCATTGCGAAGTCTGTGATGCTGGTGGTTGGTTTCCCCATTTTTGACCTCACCTTTGGCATCTTCATCACATCTGAGAATTCGACCGTTCTCCTCCCAATGTCGTGTGTCACTGTGTTTGCTTCCCCCACTGACCGACTCTGGGCCTCGGGGGTGCCTCTGCCTCGGGGCCGTTCTGAGCACAGAGGCGGCCGAGGAGCCCTGGACCGGCCTGGTTTCTCCTCCCCTGTGTGCGGTGTGCGTGGTGGCGGCCTCCGTCTCCCACGTTCTGCCAAAGGGCAAGTCCCTCTCTTGTCCTGTCTGTCCTAGCAGGGCCTTGTCTTTCTTTGGAATTCATTTTTCTTGGTTGTCTCACAATCTCAGCCTTCTGACAGGCATAAGATGTGGTTTGATTTTGTAGATTATCTGGCTTTTTCTCATTTTCAGAGAACACTGTTCTCAGGAGCACCAACATCCTAGACGGGAGCTGAACTTCCCGTTTTTTCTATCAGGTGGTCTGGCACGCTGTGGCTGATTTGTAGGTGAACTCACGAATTGTTTTAGAGAGATGCTTACCGGCTCTGCAGCCGTATTGCTGAGAACTGGTAACTCCCCACAGCAGCGAGCCAACCTGGCACCCGGGTTTCGGTCTTGGAAGCCGTTCTCTGAGCTGGGTGACCAGGACTCTCTGAGGGGCTGGTCTTCAGAGCAGGGCGAGAACAAGGTGAGGAAGTACTCAAACCCTGGGGAGGCAGCACAGAAAGACAGAGCCAGCCTGGCGGCTTCCTCCCGACTGGTTTTGGGGCAGCTGGAATCAAGAAGCAGAATAGTGCTGATGAAGAATCCTCGCCCACGGGGATCTTACAGAAGAGTCCCCGGTTTGTAAGTGTGGTGGGAATGCTCGCGTGAGAATTCCCACTTCGTCGTCATCACCAGTGAAGGCACTGCTTTGGGCAGGGGTCCCAGGGGTTGCCACAACTGTTAGACCCCCACACAGTATCGGGTTACTTAGCAATCGCGGAGGGGAACCTGCTGTAACGTAACTTCCCTCCTAGGGTGCGGCTGCTGTTGGTGTAGAGTGTTGGCTGTCCGCATGTTCACACCCGAACTGTTGGCGGGCAGCCTCTCTCCCTGTGCTCCCAGCTGGGACCTCACTGGTCTTGACAAAGGTGATTTCAGTTGCAGCTGAGTCCTTGGCACCTGATAAAGCTATGTCGTTGTCACAGAATGGAAGGGCCGTACTGAAATCTTAACCTGCAGTTACCACAGGCGGCATGAAGATGAAGATATTCTGCAATATTGGTGTTACCGGGAAGGCGCATCCGGACATAAGCTGTTCCAGAGAGACTGGGAATGGACTGGCACTCGTAAATGTCTCCTGTGTCCTTTATGTCTGCTTCCCCGTGTGCGGGTTTTGTGCGTGGATGAAAGCAGTGTCAGGGTCTCTGCGGGCTCGGTGTGTTGACGACACGAGCCAGGAAGCAGCAAACTGAAAATCAGATCCCAGAAGACGACACCCAGCTGCTCAACGGTGGTTTCTGTCTGAGGCACGGGGCTCAGCCGGGTTTGTCTTCTTCCTCCTCCTGACGTCGGACATTGCTTTCGGAACACGGGGCAAGCCTTACAGGGAGGGGAGGCCTGATTCCCTAGTGTCGTAGCTGAAGCCCAAGACCACACCGCTCTTCTTTCAGGAAACAAACCCCAACCCCGTGATTAATCATATCACGGGAAGTTCCAGAGATAAACAGAAATAGTCCTTGGGAGCTACGATGCAGCTTTTCACTTTGCTCAGTGTGCGCTCACATCTCATTTGGCCCTCCGCCTCCACCAGGAAGGCAAGACGAGTATTAGTGTCTGGTTTGACAGATAAGAAAGTAAGAGTCCTCTGGTCATGTGACTGGCTGTGCTGGGGACAGGAGTGGCGTCCACACTTTCTGTCTTATGTCCCATCGCTCTCCCGCTTCACTGCGCCCAGGTGGTGTCCCTCTTGGTGCTGTCCTGTGAGTTTGGAAGGGCATTTCCCTGCGCAGACATCTGTGATGCACAGGACCTGACTCTAAAGTAACTACTGGGAGTACGGAGGGAATGCTTTCTAGTTCATCCTTCTGGTCGGACCCTCGGACCTGCCAACCCAGAAGCAAACGGGGAGCATAGGGGAGGCTGCGAGAGAAGGCCTTGCTCCCTTTGCCCTCGTGCGTCCTGGCTGGTGGCAGGGCCTCAGAGGCCACGGTGCAGCGGCTCCTCTTCTGTCCTTCAGAGCTCGCTTGCTCTTCCTGCACTCAGGTGGTCCCCAACGGGCCAGTCTCTCCATCACTGACCCTCGGGCCCCTCACGAATCCCATTGGCTCTGTGTCCGTCGGCTGCTGGCTGGGCTTTGCTAGAGCTTCTCACACTCATCTCCTGTCCTCCAGGGCCTTGAGCACCCTCACTAGGACATAGCACCCAACTCAGTGGAACCTCGAGGTCACAAGGCTTTTCCGTTCATCTGAACAGAATAGTCCTAAAACTCTTCCCCCTCAGATGCAGGGAGAGAGTCTTGAGCCCGGGGAGGAAGTGTCAGCACTGACGCCCCCACCGGGTGTGTGGGACGGCACTTCCCAGGAACGATGCGACAGAGAATGTCCGCCCAGCCAGCGGCTCCAGAAGACCGGGTGCTGGTTTCTCCTTGGGGAAATCTGTAGTGATGCGACTTCTTACAGACTCGTGAGGACGGCTGCGGTAAACCTGACCTGCAAAGCCAAATAAGCTCGGTACTTTCCAACATACTAAACCGTGGACTCCCTGTCATTGTTCATAGTAGCAGTTAGTCCCACTTAATAACATCTTAGGGGCCGTCGGGGAGCGCTCCTGCGGTCCCGGCCAACGCACACAGTGCTGCTCCGCACGGGCGAGAGTGCCCTTTCTTCCTTCGTTTCTTTCCCCTGCTCTTCCGCCCGGCCACCCCGACTCTTCACCATTCCACTGGTTTCGTTGTGAATTTTATGTGTTTTCCCCGAACATCCTTTGCTCCCCACACACGTGCCACACAGTTGCAGCTGCTCCACACTTCCGTGATTCTTGATGCTGTTTGAACCTCACGCATTGTATTGTGTTGCTGCGTCTGACTCCCATTGCACCTTGGGCCCTCTGAGGGCAGACGTTTGTTACTGCTGGCCGCTGACATATGATACATATTTGCTAACCAAAATTCTGTGGGGAACAGGATGAGTGAACGGTTAGCCTAATCTGGTGGGATGACTGGAAGCCCTGCTGCCTTCCACGCTCTGCACTTGGCCTTAGGAGACGGCTGCGTGCCACATTGCCAGCCGGGAGTGGCCTCGCCCTCCCCTCTTTGCCCTCCCGGCTCTCGTTCCTGTTCCTGTGCTCACGCGGGTGCAGAAAGCAGAAAAGCAGACCTGATGCTGGGGCAGGCACACAACCAAGGACTGAGCGGCCACGCTGTTCGTGTGTGATTCTCCCAGAAATCCCTCCCTGGGTTCGGGGGTAGTGGGAACGGGAGTGAAGGTGGGACTGAGGGTGGAGCGCGCCCTCCCTGGGAACAGTGAGCCAACCTCTCCAGGCCGGCAGCCCCCGGGGTCAAGGATTCTCCTCCAGCCCCGGGTCTCCTGCTCACATGGCCTGAAGCACTGGAAATCGAGCTGCTTCCGCCTGATCTAGGAGATGGGGGCATCGTGTCTGGTGCCGGGCAGCTCTGTCTGGAACGCAGGGTACTCCTGGGCTTTAGCTGTGATTCAGAGCTACAGAAGCCCCCTAGCTGGTGTATATACTACTTATACCTTAAGGAAGGGCCATCACGGGGCAGGAACGCTCTGAGGTGGTAGCTGTGTCGCCCATGTTTCCTTATTGTGTGTGTCCATTGCTCATCTCATGGGTTAATTAGAAACTGGCTGGTTATGGTATGTATGGGCAACTTCCTCCATAGAGCACTGGGCTAAAGCCAGGCCACTTTGCGTTCTGACCTGTTAGGACGAATGCCTGACTGTGCTGTCACATTCAGGTGACCCGTTCTAGAGAGCCAGGGCTCTGCTCGCACTTGGGACTGCAGGCCTACCTTATCTTGGCCTTGGTCAAGTGCATGGGAGCCAAAATCGGTCTGAAAACCAGCCTAGTTGGGTCCTTCTTAGTTCTCAGTCTGAAGTGTGATAATAGGTTCCCTCACAGCCGATTCCTGAAGCCTAATCACAAAAATTACTTTCACTTAGAGCGTGGTTTACTCAAGTACTTTTCACTGAGCATTCACAGAGCTGATTTCTTCAATTGTGAATGTCCTTTTAGATTTCGATTTGATGAAAAGTAGGCCGTGACCCTTTGCGGGGTCCTTAACCTGCACAGAGTTCCGAGCCGCCGTAATCATTAATTCCGGCGAAATGCCTTTGTCTTCCAGGGCGAGAAGGAGCCTGTGTTTGCGATGACCGGCCTGCGGTGGGGAGCCTTCCGCGACGCGGGCGTCAAAGTCAGCAAGTAAAGACTTACTTGTGGGCGTGTGGTGCTCTCCGTCTTTTTCTTCCCTTCCCTTCTCTGATGTGTCTGTAAACATCGATCTTCTGGGAGTGGATGTGGCGGGTCTGGAGTCCGATGCACGGTTCGTGGAGACAGAGGTTCATATCTCGTTGCAGAGAGGCGGGGGCAGGCCCGGGCGACAGGGGTGTGTCTGTTTCCACACACACTGTTGGAGCTCAGGCTGGACAGAAGGGCACCTGGATGGCCTGCCACCCCTCGCCCTGCTCGTCTGGGCGCCGAGGGAAAGGCACTGCTGGGGACGCAGCCTGGGGCGCTGTCACAGCCCTGGGAGGCGCTCTCCGGGAGGTCCAGGCAGGGAGGGGAGAAAGGTGGGTTCCGGAAGGGCCCCATGGTGAGGGGGAAAGAACAGGCCAGTGGGGGCGGTGATTACAGGGCTGTCGCCGGCTCCTCAGGGGAACGGACTTGTTTTCAGAGACTTTGTTGTGGGACAGGAAGCCCTTGGCCTGACCACAGTGGGTGTCCTCTTGCGTTTGCTGCAGAGAGGGCCTGTGGGCCCAGGCCCCTGGGGCGGGACGGAAGGGGGCCCTGGCCGAGGTGCCTCGGTGGTGTGTGTTCGCTTTTACCTTTTCTTAACAACGGGCTCATCGTGTTAGTTGTGAGTGAATTGTGACCCATCCCACACGTAGCTTTCAGCAAGAAACCCCTCTTTCACTTCGGAGGCCTTCCCCCTGCTTCACTGCGTCCGTCCTGCCGGTGACGTTCCTGACCGTGGACTGTCCAGGGAGAGGGGGTGCTGGTTTGTGTCCACACGCGCGTCCTTCGGTGCCTCACAGCTTGTCATCCGCAGTCCCCGGGGCCATCCTGATTCCCCGCGGTACCCTGTGGGGCATCTGTAGCGTCGGGCCGTCCCCGCAGCTGGCCGAGTGGCGGCGCTCAGTGATGCCCGGAAAAGCCCGCTGCGGGCAGACGGCCTTCTGCAGGGCGCTGACCAGCAGGCAGGCACCAGCAGTGGTCGGGCCCTGTCCGGAATCTCTCACACCCTTGCCCCTGTTTTGACTGACTTCAGAACGTCGACTTTTCAATTCCGGTCACCTGGCACCCCAGCGAGGACCGTCCGTGGAGCTGCTGTGTGTGTTGTGGAAGCAGCAGCAGGGAGGCAGGAGGTGACGTCCTAGCTGTCGGAATTCGCTCTTGGTAGAGAGGGGGCAGCTGCTGGCAGATCAGGAATGAAGTGCTCTAGCCGGGGTGTGTTTCTGTCTGGCCGACTCGGAGCCAGTCGTGACGTTGGCTGAAGGTCAAGGTCCTCGTGAGCAGCAGCACAGAATTCACCTGAGCAGTAATTAGACCGGCTGCACAGGGCTCTCGGGGTTCTCTCTGAACTCCTGGTGCTGGCATTCAGGGCCCTGCTGAGTCCGTCACCGCCCCTGATTTCACAGTCACACATCCTTCTCAGCCTTTCACCCGCAGTGTCTCCTGTGCCTGGCTGCCGCTCCTGCCCGAGCGAGCTCTTTCCCTCTGTCCCGCATCGAAATCCCGTGCGTGGCAGTGAACTCCACGCCCTCGGTGCGGGCTTGAGCCACAAGCACGTCCGACCCAGGATTCTGGGCCTCAGTGATTCCTCATCCTTCTTCACTCTCCTTGCCAATAAACAGTGGTCAGTTCAGGCTGTGTCACGTATGTTTATATGGTCTTTACTGCTTTCTGTTTCTTTTTTGGACCGTATTTTATAAAATGATAGCCCTCAAAGGCAGGAATTTATACTCTGTATTTCTTTTGCTAAGTAAGTGAATATCGATCGCATCAGAGAGGGAGCAGTTAGGACGGGCTGGTCGGGGACACAGACTGTGAGGAGGAATCGACTCTGCCGCTTGTCCAGCTCCACGCAGGCATCTGTCCCCCCGGCAGCATCCGTGTGGCGGCAGCTCACAGCATGACGTGCACCCCTCCCTCCCCGGTTTCACGTTGCCACTTTCAAGATGCGTGACACGAGTAGTGTGAAATCACACTGCTTTGCACCTCTGATTGCACGTTGGCGTGTGAGAGAACACACCAGTGGGTTCTAGGTTGTGGGTGGCACCTCCCCCGTCTGTGGCTGGAAGCACACATGACTGGGAAGCTGATGGATCCGGAGACTGCAGGAGACTGACTCTATACCCCTGGTACATTGCAAGGACCTGCATGCGCGGCACTGATCGCAGGCTGTGTGACACGGTGTTGAAGCGCAGATGAAAAGTTGACTGTGACACTCTTTTATGCTAAACCTCGGTCCTCAGAGCAGACGCTGGTAGAGGTGTGATTCCAGGGGCGCATCTGTCACAAACGCTGTCTGTCCCGACATCGTTCCTTTCATATTCTAATTAGATGTTTGTCTTCATCGTTCTCAGGTACTGGTATCTCGGGCCTCTGAAAACCAAAGCAGCTTACTTCTTCAGCACTCTGCAGGTAAAGGCAGGTCACGGCGTGGGGCTGTTCCCCGCGCCATTCTGTTGGTGCTCCGTGAAATGGCATTTGAGAAAGCGCATTGAAAAAATGAAAATGTCGTCCCTCCATGAAGTCACCCCTCATGTACCAACTCAGTCCCTCCAACACCAATTCAACAGTTCATTTCTTTTTAACATTCCGCTGCACTTCGCCTCTTCATTCACACTGCTGCCAGACAAACCTTGAGCAGAATGACCTGTATCACCCGTCATTTACATACCTGTATCAGTATCTAGAAATGAATGGGAGAGACCGTGGGTTTGGAGAGGGTACCATCGAGAGAACACCTGGCTGGGAGCAGCCGTCAGAACGTCAGCGTTTAAAGAACCAGACACGGCACCCAAGAGGTGCTGAGAGGCAGCCGAGGGGACAGTGCTGGTGGAGAAGCCGGTGGAGGGAGGGTTTCAGGCAGAAAGGGAGGCTTCAGGAAGCAACAGCGGAGTCTGACTGCAGACAGGAAAGTATCCACTGAACGTGGCCGCCTCCTCGGGGCTGGAAACCCGAGTGGAGAAGGTGAGGGGGTGCATGGAGGGGAAGAAGCGGAGACCCCAAGGGTGGGACGCTCAGTCAAGAAACTTTGGAAGAAAAGGAAATAGAAAAGGCAAAGGCTAGTGAAAAAAATGGGATCAAAGGAGTGTTGTGTTCGTAATTAGAGAGAGATCCGTGCCTTTCCAACCCCAAGCAACAGGAAAACAGAAGGGAAGAGGTGAACAAAAGGAGAGGAAAAGCACACCTGAGTTGGCAAAATCCATGAGCAAGTGGAAGGGCGCGGACCCAAAGGCCTGGGTCGCCTCGGGCAGGGGAGGGGCACTTTCTCCCCAAGACGGGAGAGAAAGTCCGGGTGAAGATGGCTGTGTGGAGAGTTAAGGCGGTTCTCACGGAGCACAGAGAGCCAAGTGACCTGTTGAAATTGAGGTGGCGGTGGCGGTATGGGGGCTTTGAAGTAAGATGGAAACAGAGGATTAGAAGGATTATCAAGTGGCACTGAGGACCTGAGACCAAGCATTTGTGGTGACAGGGACATGCGTGCGTGGGTGACTGTTTTTCCCGTGTCAACACTCGGCAGGCGTGTTTCTCTCCCCACCACCACGATACTGAGCCCGGAGGTAAACCTGGAGACAGGGTGGGCCCAGCCCTGGGGCTTCTCAGGGCACGTGTTCTGGGAGACTAAAGACACGAGAGGGCCGGGGGTGACGGAAAAAAGCACGATTTACAGTAATTAACTGATAATTCGGCACGGAGGGAAAATGGCGTGTCGGACTGGGCTCCCCACTGTGATTGAAAACTTGGTTGGTTACGAGCTCCAGGGGCCAAGAACAACACCCCTTTCTTCCTCCTCTGGTTTTGAGCCAAGTTCAGAGGAGGAAGCTGAAATGAAAACAAACGCAGGAACAGGCCGACGGGGACCCAAATGTCAGCTTTGTAAGTGTTAGCAGGCGTGAAGGGCACCACTTAGACACGTGGTGACAATCTGATGCCCCAAACTGAATTTGGCCACTGAAATCGTCTCCTCCAGGACAGAGGGTGGTGAGCGCACTGTGAGGAGGTGAGTCAGAGGCGGGCGCTGGGTCCACGCCTCGGTCCCCTGGACTCGGGGAGAAGCGGGCCAGATGGGGTGAGAGGGTCAGAAAGTCACTCGTGTGTAGTGCGCCCCGTGGGAGCTTGAGAACAGGGGAGTATGCCCTGAGAGACACATGCGCCGCACATGGATTGGGACAAACAGTGCAGCACGTGACGTCCAACGTGGACTAGTGTCGGGTGGCTGCGAGGCCCAGACGTGGCTCTGGGTGTGAGTGGCTGCAGTGAGAGGTGACGTCCAGGGCTGGAGGGCGAGGCCGTTGTTCTAGTGATTCCTGGGGACAGTGGTGAGACCCAGGACGTCACTGGACCTGGGCTGCCAGGTAGTAGACAGAAAGGCTAGAGCGCAGGGACCTTTGTCCTCGAAGCAGGCCCGAGAAGCCCCGAGTGGTGTTCGAGGCTGGGCGAGACCCTTCCAGCCTCCATGTGGAAGGTGATTCCGGAAGTGAGCAAGCTGTTCGATGCAACCAAATTTCGTCAGTTCCTTGTTTGTGCTGTCAGTGTGCCAGCGACAACACACTTGTCACGGGATGGACTCTGCTTGTTTGTGTCAAGAGTGTTTAGACGAGTCTAAGCTGCGGTTGTTAGTCCACTCGGGTCTTCTCTCCGCCCCACCTTGCTGAGGTCGGCGAGGGCAGCAGCCCCTGGGTGCGGGGTTTTCAGGACAGACCCTCGACAGGACACGAGGGCTCGAGGATCCCACGCTCCACGCCAGAGATGAGGCCGCCCAGTGGGAGGTCCGTCAGCCTCCTGGCAGGTTTAGGCAGAACACTAACCAGCCTTTGCACAGGGAGACTCCCCGAGTTTGGAATTGTGCGTTAATGTTTTTCCCTCTTCACTTTCAAAGGAGTGGCCTCAGACTCATCAAGCCTCCCTCTCGTACACGGGACCTAAAGCGAGACCTCCCAGCGTCCCCGACGAGATCCCCGCACGGCCCTCTCTGTACCGGAGAATACTGCGCAGGCTCGTGTCATACTGGGCACAGCCGCAGGACGGTGAGCGGTGGGGTGGCTGACGGTCGAAGGTGCCGGTCAGGTCAGAGGCGTCCAGAGCAGACCCCCCGAGTCTGTGCCAGGCTTCCCTTTTGGGGACCACTGTCGTCAGCCTCCCGTGTGCCACTGCACACAAACCAGCACAGTGCCCTGTGGTTACAAACACCCCGAGTCATTTGAGGCAAATGGTGGCCCCCTCTCTGTCACCGACCTTTCTGCATTGCCGACTGCACTGGGAGGGTGTTTCCGGCACGGAGGTTCCGTGCGGAGCCCGGCTGTTTGTCCTGTGTGTGGGAAGCGTGCAGCGCAGAAACCGGTGGACGGTCCGCAGATGCTCTGGGGAGACGGAGTTGAGCAGCTGGCCGAGGAGGGCCGGCGGGAGCGGCTACCGGGAGGGGCTGACCTGTGTCTCGTGCCCCCACGTAGCCCCTTCCCCGGAGGCGAGCCCCGAGGTCTGGAGAGACCTGCAGCTGTCCACCATCGAGCTGTCCATCACCACACGGAACAGCCAGCTCGACCCGACCGTGAGTGCGCTTTTCTCTTAGAGGAGCGGCGGTGTCTGGGGAAGCTGACGAAGGCGGCACGCTCTCCCGCCGACTCGGTGTTCTCGCGTTTGTCCCGTGGGGCGCAGAGGGAGGGACGGGGGGGGGGTGAGGCGGTGGCTAAGAGCTCGAGGGGCCCGGTCACGGGACCGGGCGTGGCTGGGCGGGCCTGAGGGCAGGAGGCCTTCAGGGATGAAAGGTTAGCTGCTCTCGTCCGTCACCGGGATGAAAAATCGTGGGGCTTTCACTTGAGAAAACATCCATTCTTTTGGTGACTGTATTAAATATGTAGGTGCAGGCCCCCAGGGGAAAACGCTATGTATGTTTTTAATTGTATGTAAACATGTAAGTGTGCACGTTATTATATGAGTCCAATCTATTGACATGCCCTGTCCAATGTAGTACCACTAGCCGCCTGTGGCAATTTAAACTTAATTAGAATTAAATAAAATTGAAAACTCATTTCTTTAAGCACACCGGCCACCTATGGAGAGCCCAGCAGCTGTCTGTGGCTAGTAGCTACCACACTGGAAAGCACAGACCTCAGCGGTCCCTGGTGCTGCTTGAGGCTCTGCCGGGGGCGGGGCTGCTGCCCGTGATGCAGGAGCGGGCATTGGATAGAGCAGGGGTTGGCGGTTGGCCTTAGCTGAGAATTGACTTGACGTTTTTAAATGGTTGGAAGAAAATGAAAATAATTTGCGATACATGGTAAGTATATGAAGTTCAAGGTCAATATCCATAAGTAAGGCTGGACTGGAGCACAGCGGTATCCTGTGCATACGTGTTGTCTATGGCCTTCATGCTGCGGGGCAGAGCTGTGACAGGGACTCGGTGGCCCCAGAGCCTCCAGCATCACTGTCTGGCCACTCACGGAAAGTCTACTGACCGCTGGGCTGGAGAAGCCCACGGCGGTGCACGTTAATGAGAGCGCCGTAGGACGCTGCCCTTAACTCTGGACTCTGTATCGTCATCCGGCTTCATGCAGTCAGGGCAGCGTGTTCACAGTGGGCCTGGTCACTCTGAAAATGGGCACACACAGTGACCCTGGTGACCGACGTATGACTGGGCTGAGAGGAGTGGGCGAGGTGGGCGCGCAGCACACTCCGATTCCAGTATGAGTGGAGCGTGGAGCTGTTTCCTGATTGTAAAAGGAATGTGTGTTCATGGTGTAACACAGCTCCCTTTACCTTCCAGGTTAACTCCAGTTAGGTCAATAGTTAAATGTACAAAAATAGAACCATTAAAGCTCCAGAGTGAAATCTAAGGAAAAGCAATAGAAGCTTGGGGAGGGAGCCTAAGGCAGAACTCATATTTCAATGCACTCACCTTTGTGTAATTAAAAAAAAAACTATAGACAAAGTTTTTAATGACAGGTTGGGGAAAATAATCTATAGAATGTGGTAGAGTGGAAGTTAATAGCTTTCCTTTATAACCAACTCCTTAGGGTAAATCCATAGGAAATGGGCAAAGGACTAAAATAACCCGCAAAGGTCAAGAACAGAAATTCACAAAAGGAATAAAAAATGAAAAAGCTAGCTTATATTTACTGAATATATATTACATGCTATGCATTAAGAATTTTACGTATCAGCGCTCGTAACCTTAACGTCTACATTAATAGACGTAACTAATGTAGATGTAAGAGTTACAGTAGATGTAACTCTTAACTGTATTTGTAGGTAAGGAAACAGGAAAAGTGCTGAACGTGAAAAAATGTAAACTGACGCAGCAACTGTCGAGCTGTGGTAGATCAGAAAGCCCGCCGGCGTGCGGTGCTGGTGGGGATGGGCAGTGTCAGCGCTGTGACGGGCGCGGAAAGCAGCCGCCCTGCCCTGGGCCATGGCTGTTTCTAGAACTGATCCTACAGGAATCACCGGATTAGTGCACAGTGTAGTCAGCCCCCCACTTCTTACATCGCGGAATTCTGGAAACACTGGTGCAAGCGAATGTATTAAGGTTGCAACAGACAGAGTCAGTCCTAGAAGAATTTCAGAAAGAGACGATCTCTAGTTACACAGTTCCCTTTGACCCGGTCTGATAACATGTGTTCCCAGCACGGTGCGGTCTGGAACACGGCTCCTTTCCCCGGGGGTTGGACACAGCGGATGGCTGAGTGCAGGCAGACGTGACGGTGGCCAAGACGAGCCGCGCGCAGAAGGCGCAGGGCTGTTGCCTCTGGGCCAGTTTTGGAAGCACATTTGTTTTCTTTCTTCCACACCCTTTGTGAAAGTAAAAGTGCAATAAAGTATTCGAAGACAATGAAGGTGCCAAGTGATAGCTCCAAATGCTCATGTGTCACTAGAGCAGCACAGGCAGAGTCTCCGAGGCGTCAGGCACGGGGTGTGGGAAGTGAGGCTGTCGGGCCGCCGTGTCTGCTGTAGTCAGGCAGCACCGCACGCGGACAAGCTGATCAGGGGACCGACTCAGCCCAGTTTGGTGCATTTGTTACTGCAGGGAAAGACGCTCACCATGTATCATGAGATGTAAAACCAGGTTAAAACGATGTGTAACAAACAAATTCGTTTTTATTTTAAAAAGAAGTGCTTCTACCTGTAACTGAGTTTTGTGGGCGACAGAGGGAAGGCCCCAGTTTTCATTCTTTCCACGTCGAAGGTTCTCGCCCAGGTGCCACACACTGGTGTCCACTCCCCCACCAAACCCCGTGCTGGTTGCAACACCTGCCACACATCGGGTGTCCGCAGGGGTGGAAATGCGGTGCCTCTAGTCAATTGCACTGTTTTTCTATAGTTGTTCTAGTTCTGTGCTTCTCTTAATTAGCATTGTTTTATAAGTCTGTTTTTTCTTAAAAGAGTCACTTGCCTATTCTTGACTCCTTGGCCTATGTAAGTCCCTTGGAATGTTTATCTTACTAAGTTCCACATAAAAATCTGGTGCAGTCGTCAGAATGCCGTTGAACCTGCAGAGCAGCTTGAGGGGAGAGGACGACCCCCTTGTCCAATCGCTGTGGCCTGGTGCCCTGTTTGTTTCGATTTGTTCACGTCTTCAGTGAAGTTTTAGTTTTCTCTATAACATTTTGCCTTTTGCTGGGTATAGATGCCTGATTATCCCAATTTTTCATGTCACTGTAAGTAGCGTCACCTAAAACTTCATTTTTTAACTGATTCAGTAGAAAAAACACGTAATTGATTTTTTTTACATTGATGCTGAATCAGCGAACTAAATTCTTATTAATCATATGAAGTTCATGGCTCCCTTTGGGTTTTCTATTGATTCAGTCATATTGACTGCAAGTGGTGCAAGTTCTGCTCTTCCCTTTCAAATGCTTAGCTTTCCGGTCTTTGATATTTCCTTACCACGTTGTCGGCTGGGACCTCAGCACAGTGTTGAATGGAAATTACTGTCTTACAGTGCGTAAGGGGATGGAGAGGGAAGTGTTCGCTGCTTCATTCCCGAGTTTGATGGGCTTTTTGTGGATACCCTTTATGAGATCAAGGAAGTTCCCCTCTATCCTACTTTGCTGAGAGTTTATCATGAGTGGATATTTATCAGGTACCTTTCCTATATCTGTTGAGATAAGGTTTTCTCATCCAATCTGTAAGTGTAGTAGTACAGCATGTTGATTTTTGCATTTTCACTCTTTGCAAAGGACAAATCCTAGACTTGCATGGGTCACTATCTGCTCATCCTCTTAGATGTCTCCTATACCTTTCAGTCTCGGCTCGTCCGGAACTGAGCTCCTGACTCCGCCCCTTGAGCCCTGCTTTCCCCACCCTTCCCCGACTGCGGCTGATGGTCATTCCGGCCTCGCATTTGTTCAGTTATCTTGGAGCCACTTTTGGCTGCACCTTCCGCACATCTAATCTTTGAGGAAGTCCTGGTGGCCTCACCTTCTAATACTGCCGGCGCTTCCCCGGACCTCTGCCGCTGCCTGGTCCACGTTGTACGATAGGTTCCCACGTGGTCTCCCTGCTTTTCCGTCCCCTTTATTCTGCTCCCAGCACAGCGGCCCTTGAGGCCTTGTTCGAATGCAGCCAAGTCTCCTTGCCCAGCCTGGGACCTTCCCAGGGCTCCCATGTCACTCAGCCTCCCAGCCACATCCCTTGGGATGCTCTGCAGGGCCTTGCTGCTCGCTCTCCTGCCCTCTCCAGCTTCACCCCACCGTCCACTCTGGCTTCCTCGCTGCCCTCACATCCGCCAGCCATGCTCCCGCTGTTTTGTAGACTGCTGTTCCCGAGACCAGCCGCTCTCAAAGTGCAGGCCTTGGGTCAGCAACGGCAGCCTCACCCGGGGACTTTTTGTCAGAGACAAGAACTCTCGGGCCTTGCCTGGGACAGGGAGTTACCACCTCTGAGGGTGGGGTCGGAGTCCAGCTGCCACAGGCCCTCCAAGCGGCCCTCCAGGGGGTTTGAGGACCTCGGCCCTGGACGTCCAGCTGCCACTCCCCTCACCTCCTGAGGTGTCTGCTCGGAGGCCGCGTCTCACCACCGTCTGCCTGGACCCTCTTTCAAAGGCACTGATGCCCCGTGTCCTTGATCTAGTTTTTTTCTTGCTTTTTCTGATAGACTCCAGTATAGTTGTTTCCTGATGTACTCTGTAGCCTACCATTTATGCCATATACATTCATTCTATAATTCCTGTTTTTGTACTGATATACTCTGACATACTTCTAATATTCTCTGTCACTTACAGTTTTAGTGTGATTGTTATTTTGTTGTGTTTTGCTTATCCCTCAGTTTCCCTGGTAGAAGGTAAGTTCTTTGAAGGCAGAAATTGTTGGGTTATTCCTGATGTAACCCAAGCACCTGGAGGAGTTCATTCAACAAGTCCGTATTAAATAAAAGGTGAACTCGGAGCTGAGTCACCTCCTTTGTGCACTGCAGTGTCCAGTGGGGAGGGTGCCCCGTGCCGGGTCAGCCCTGTGACCCTCGGCAGTGCTGCCGGCTCTCGGAGGCCTGTGGGTAGCCTGGGGAGACAGATGCACTGCCTGTCTGTATAGAAACAAACCTGCGTTTGAAGCAGACGCAGAGAGAAGGGTTGGGCTGGTACTGCTAGCCACTGACTGCTGGTAAATCGGGGGAGCAGGAAGTGTTAGAACCAAGTCTGTTTTTATAGCTACTTCCTTGTTAGCTCAGAGCTTTCTGGGATTGGGAATGGAGGGCTCTTCAAATATCACCTTGGCACAATGGCCTGCTGCACACCAGACTTGCATGTACAGCTCTTTAAAAAAGATGTGTGGGCCCTGCCCACCGGGAAGCCACTGTAGCAGGTGAGACGCCGGTGTCGGTAAGACTCGCTGGGGTGGCGGGGCTCACAGCTCGGCCTGCAGGGAGGGCTGCTCCCGCCTCCAAGGGCGCCGACTGTTAATGACAGAACCTCACAGACTCCCCACTCAGAGTTTTGACAGACCTCCAAACCTGAGTTTTACTTGTCCTATATAGGTCATAAAGAACAAACAATGGAGATGAATTTTATGGTATGTAAATTATACCTCGATAAAGGTCTTCATGTAAAAGGAAAAGGTTAAGTTGCTAAAAAGTCCCCTGCATAACTTATACACAGCTTCGAAATGTGAACCCGCGAGTCTTAAAGGCAACGCCAGGCTGCATTAGCCACGGTTTGGAGTACTGATGTTTATCTTCCTAACCCCGCAGAGCACGGAAGACTTCATGAATATCTGCATCGAACCTGAGGACGTCAGCAAAGGAGACTTCATAAGCATAGGGTGAGTGGACTGAGATCTCCTAACTGGGGTGAGTGGCCTGGGGCTTGGAGGAAATGAGGATGAAGTCACTGGAACTGAATCCTACTGTCTTGTGTCTGGAGTGCCCGTGAGGTCTATATAAGGGACCCAGCGAAGGACGCGCCCTGTTTGGGAATCCCAGCTCTCTTCGTTCGTTTGGGTGGGCGTGTCTAGCACTCCTCTCTCTCTCTGGCCGCCCCTGTTCGTTTTGGGAAGAGCAGAGGATGGGGGCAGTCTTTGCCTTTCTACTGAAGGAACTCAGCGTAGCACAGGGCCTGAATTGCTGGATCCTGCAACTTCCTGGCCTCATGTTTTGGAGGCATCCTCAGTCTCTGAATCATTTTCTCTGTGTATAGACTGGAGTGACTCTCTCAGGGTCGTTTTTAGGTCTGAGAGAATGTGCGGGGAAGGCCTTTTTCATCATGACCTGCTCTCTGGGTGTTAATGAAAAACCTGAAAAGGGGTTGAGTACTTGGGACATTTTCCAGGTTTCCCTTCTCCACCACAGGTCCCATCTGATTTGTTCAGCCCTCCCTTGGCCAGAGTTTTATTGGTTAAGAATGCTCTAGGCCCTCCCTCAGCCTGTAAAGCCTCACAGACCGTTACCATGCCGACTGGTGTGTGCGTGCTGTGTTCTGTGCTCTGGCTCAGAGCTCCCCCTCGAGGTTAAACATCTCTGCTGGGGAGGCGGGTCTCCATGGCAACCTCATTGTCTGCACCAGCACCCGCAACGACACTGTCATTTGTTTGTGGTATGGTTGCTGGGTACAGATTCTTAAGATGCTGAATAGCTGCTCCTGCAGCCATTGGGTTTATTTGCTGTATCTGTAGTAAGTGGGAGGGGAATACGTCTCTTCTTCCGTACAGTGTGCAGGAACTTCTGTCTTAACAGAGTCTGACCAGTAGGGGCCGTTCTACCCCAGTCTCCTCTGTAATTCTGACATTCAAAAGTAGAAAATCGATTGTGGTAAGTGAAGTCATCGTGTTCCTCGTTATTGCCAGCATCGGCAGCAATAACATGGTCCCCTTTGGTCTCTACAGGAAGTGAAATCAGGTCATGTCTGTCTTCTCTGGGTATGTGAATATCCATTGAGAAGTTGCTTTAGAAAATGGACAAAGTTTCACTGAAGAAGAATTACTGTTGTCAATCAATGACAAAGAATGGACTAAGTTGCTTGGATTAGCTTTTGCCCTTTCGGTACTTCCCACGACCAGCAGTGAAGGGCGGGCTGTGTGTGGAGAGTTACTCGCCTAGTTTTCCTCCAGCGCCACTTAGTGAGGGTGAGCGGGTGCTGGCCAAGGTGTTACCATGGAGAATCGGCAGGGAGCCTAGTGGGGACTGGGGTTTCACGCATGAAAAAGAAGCCTCTGCCTTACTCTGAAATCGAAAGTTTCTCCTTCAAGAGTTGACTGTCTCCCAAGTACCACCAGGTAACAGAAGCTTAGTACTTCTCCTAAAGGATTTAATTTCATTCTAACTGTTAAATTTGGGGTCTTTAATAGCCCAAGAATTGGGTCTGTGTGGACGATTGAAATTCAGGTGGTCTCGACTCCAGGCTCGGCTTTCGCCAGCAAGGCAGCCTCGTCGCTCCAGCACCCGTCCCAGGGCTGAGCAGGAGTCCTTGTGGGAAACATCGCCCACGGGACCCCACGGTGTTCGGTGGATCGGAACACACCACTACAGATACAGCTGAACCTCATCAAAAACAGGACTTGCCACATTCTTGCAGCCTCGTTTCCAAACTTGCTTTTTCCTCTGCTAACAGGAGCAAAAAGGTGCGAGACCCCAAGCTGCGCGCTGAGGGCACCGAGTGTCTCCAAGCCAGCCAGTGCGCCCTGCTCCTGCCCGAGGTAGGTGGGTGGGGCTGTCCCGGGTCTTTCTTGGTCTCCTCCTTTCTGTTTGCCCCCTTCCTCTCTAGTAACAGACCCTCATTTAGGCCCCTTGGATGTGCTGAGCACGCTGCCAGCCTCTGGGTCAGAGGCGGCAGACCTGAGAGATGACAAGATCCCATGTTTTTAAGCCAAGGCTCTCTAAAGTGAGCTTTGGGTCTCCTGAGCTCCCCCGCCCCAGATGTAAATTATGCAGAGTTACTATACTATCACACAGGACATTCTCAAATGGTAACAGTGGGTTCTACCTTCACACTTGTTCTGAAAGATCTGGAAGCAGTTTTCAGAATGGCGCTAAGTTTTTCTGTGCCGTGAAATCCCAAGCCTAGAAGAAGAACCTATATCAGTGGGAAAAGTTGGAAATGTCATCTCGTTTTGTAAGGTTAGTTATTCTATTAGCAATACCTCAGGAAGAGAGTTACTCCAGGTCACCTCTGCACGCTCAGGGCCCCCGTGTCACCGTATGCAGGAAGGACTGTGGTGCCCCACAGGGGTGGCACTCGTCTCAACGTAGACATGTTGCATTAAAGGCACGGGTTCCGGCCAAGCTTTATAGACTCTGCAGCGGTGCTTGCTCTGCCTGTGTGTGGACCTGCAGAGAAGAACCCTAGAAACAAGCAGCCGTCCTGCCTTTAAGAGGACGTGCGGTCTTTCTCGTTGAGCAGACCTGGGGTAAGGAGGACCTGTAATGCGTCATGTTTATGAATTCCTTCCTTAAAGGTGTGGCGGGAGCCCTGTCTTTTATATATGTATTTGAAAATTATGACCTTGCTTCTCAAGTTCCCAAATAGTCTTGTAGGAGGTAAGAGGCCAGAGAAATGAAACCTTTTTCGTGAACCAGATTTTGCAGAACCAGCACTGAACCGGTGACTTAAAAGAGCAGAGACTCGGGCCCCCGAGAGGATGCTGGGAGGACGACTCGGTGTGCGTGCGGCCCTCTGAGCGCTGTCTTCTCCACAGGGCACGGGGGGCTCCTTCAGCATCGACAGCGAGGAGTACGAGGCGATGCCGGTGGAGGTGAAGCTGCTGCCCCGGAAGCTGCAGTTCTTCTGCGACCCTAGGAGGAGAGAGCAGCTGATGCCGAGCTCGGCTCAGTGAGCGCCTGGGGAGGTGCACCCTGAGACCGTGCCCGAGGCCACCGTGGGACCAAAGGGAACAGCTGCCTGACCGTCCCCACAGGGTACCTGCTTCCCACTAGCGCGTGCTCTGACTTCCGTGAGGCAGTTGCTCCCTCCTCCGGCTAGTTCAAGGACGTTCTCTAACTCAGCGGATGGGGAAGGGCTAGACCTCCTGCAAATGCAACGGCTGGGGCAAGCAGGCTCCTAGCCCCGCCCCTGCATCCCTGTCTGACCCACAGCCCCGAGGACTTCCTGCCGCCTTGTCCTGGCTCCCTGGCTTCCCCTGCTTGGTGAGCTCTGTTCTTACTTGGCTTGTTTCTGTTTGAGCCTCAAACCAAACCAAAGTGTGGGTGAGGTGTCTCCCTCTTCAGCCATGGCTGAAATACTGTAAAATCCTAGTTCGTTTTAAGCAGTGATTCTTAAATGTTGGTTTGCGTGTCGAACCGTCCAGGGTGCCTGTTGAGAACTGAGGGACTTGGGGGCCAACCCGAACCTAAATGACTCAGTCCAGGGGGAGCCCAGCAATCTTCATCTTCCCTGCAGAGCAGCAGCACTCCCAGGTGACTGCTGAGGGCGTGCCCGCCTCACCTGGACGGCAGGTCGGCGGGGGGAGGGACGGGGCTTCCTGGGAGTCCTCTGGAACCGCGCACCCGGCACGCTCCGACCCTGACGTCTGTAGTCTGTTAGGGGAGTTAGAGCTGCCGAAGCATGCACGTCCTGCTGTCCTGTAAATATTGATATTTTGAAATAAAAACTTATTTCACTCTTTTAAACATATTCAGTGTAACTTAAATACTCAGCAATTGGACATGTGCCATACCAAAAATAAACAAGTTCTTTAGGAGTTGAAAATTTTACATTGACTTTTTTCCATACCTCCCTCAGCAAAGAGAATGCCCTCGCGATTCAGTCTAAGATTTCGATAATGAAAAATTGTGTTAGGATGTTCTTTATGCCCATTAGTTCATTTATGCAAGAGCACATAAATGTTACAGCTAAGATGAAGTGGGACTCAACTTTACATTCTTGTCCCATTTTTGGTAGATATAAGCACAGGACTAGATGGAAAGAATTCTCTTACAACAATGTCTGTAGCTCTTTGAATTCCTCTGGAGTTATATGTCAAAAATTATTAATAATGATCCTTCAACAGCTTGATTACACCTTCCCTTAGGTTGTTGAAAGCCAGGAAGCACCTGACCTGCCAGACAGTCTCTGTCAGGGTTCACTTTTAACCCCACCCGCGCCAGTTCCTCAGTTCGGGGCCCCTGGGGTTTCCAGCAGCAGAGGGGCGAGCAGCGCAGTCGGATGGACGGAGTGGATGCCTGGCTTTTGTAGAGAGGCAGGGACAGTGTGAGGGGACTGGCTGGTCTTAGCCTGGGTCTCGGCTCTGGCTGGTCAGCACTAGGGACACCTGTGCCCATGAGCTGCTTGCAGAGTGGGGACTGCTCCTTACGGGGCCACAGAGCAGCTACGGAAAGGCCACGTGTGAGCGGCACGAAGACCGGGCTTACCTGTGTTGTCTTGGGAGCAGCACTGGAGGCTGCGCTTCTGCAAAAAAAAAGAGCAGGCAGGTCCGAGCACACAGCGGAACGATCACCCACTCCACACTGCCCACGGAGAGGGGAGGAGACGCTGCGGGCGGGAAAACAGTTTCCACCTGAGCCCAGAGAATTTAGCATGTCCTGATTCTAGAACAAGCTATAACGGGCCAACCAGCCCAGAATCGGGAGCCTTGATAGGATACCCGCACACCCGTGTGTGATTCCAATCCTTCCATCGAAATCGCGGAACTTAGGATCGAGGAAGGATATTTAGTCTAGATTAGTGCTTTCATATGCCCTGGTTCAAGTTGTTTCCTGATTCAGACCATGTGAGAGTGGGGTTTGCCTACTATCACTGACTTGCCCTGTCCTTGCACGTCCAGGCCCTTTCCCGGGCACCTGGATGGACCCGCCCCCCCTCCTCGGGGCCCGCCTCCTGCTAACCTACCCTCCCCCGAACTTCGCTCTCAAGCTGAGATTGTTTCCATTACAAATATTGATGCTCTCTATTAAATACAGTTTGATAGAAAGCCTTTTGCTTAAGCTGTGGCCGATTTGCATGCATGGTTATAATTACTATGTCTGGTGCTTTTATACAAGCAGCAGCTTCACCCTGTTCTAGGGACCCTGAGAAGTGGGTGGCACCACAGTGGTCACGTGGCCCAGAAAGGAGGAGCCTGACTTGGAACACACCGCAGCCACCTCAGCAATTTGCTACCTGAAAAGGTTAAAAGTAAAATGAAACTCCAGTGTCTATATAAGCACAATATACAGTATATAGTAACACCCTCCCCCCTTTTTTAAATCATCTATTACAAAATCATAAGCATGTAATTCTATAACATAACAATATCACCCTCAAGCACACCACATGGCATTTTAGGTGATTGTTCGAATTAAAACCACACTCACGCAGGCGTGATTCTGCCGCACCCTGTATATGGTCAATCACACACGTATGAAATACAGTAGATCGTCTTAAAGTAACCTTTGGTGGGAAGAGACGTGAATCGAAAGGGCTTCAGTCCCTGCGGGGTCCTCCTCTGGAAGTCGTCTGATGGGACGGACGGTGGCACAGTTGTTCCGGCAGCGGTTCCCACTTCCTGGAGCGCGTCTGTCCAGACCTCGGCCTCCGCCGGGAGGACAGGCGGGCGGGCGCCAGCAGCTCTCAGTGCCGCCCTCCCGCCCGGGGGCCCAACCCACAGGCTCTGCTCCGCCACCCCCTTCTACTACAAACCTCATTTCCTGGACCAGGCGAAGGACCGCAGCACACGTGTTCGTGTTAAAATGTGAATTTTAATTGTAAAAAGTGTTGTCTGTAAATATAGTTAAGTCCGCCCCGCTGTACACGACTTGGTTCAGGTGTATACAGACATGATGTACACAGATGGTGTTTGTGCCACAGCACAGAATCGCTGCAGGAAACATTTACCCTGAAATTCGGGGCGACCCCAGCTTGAGGCCTTTAGAATGATCACCGTTGAACACAAAGCAAGACTAACACCTGTAAGCACTAGCACTCGGGGTAAAAAGTATCACAACTGACACCGATTTCATCATGTGAAGTAAGGACTGGAAACAAAAATAGATTCCGTTTCTCTTATTGCTCGAACTCCAACACCAGGGCATCAATCAGAACCGAGGCATGACTTTTAAGGCGACCGGGACGCGACGGTTTTCCTAACTTGGAAATAAAGGAAAACCTGTTTCTTTTCAGAAAAGGCTCATCTCCCAGACCTACAAAAAGTATAACCAGCCAGCTTGGGCTAAGTAAGGAAGTTAATTTTGTTCTCCTGTACTCTGTCCCCCTAATGTCCCCTCTTACCCTGTCTGTCCAAACGCCCAGAACCTGCACCTGCCATCACTGTGGCTTTCTTTGGGCTCTTGGACTGAAACTCTCCCTGCCAAAAGTTTTTAATGCTTTTATCTTTGCTTAATTCGCCCAGAGGACGTTTTCACTCTCCTGTGAAGAAAATCAGGCATCAGCTAAGTCACCGCCCTCTGTGTAGAGTCTCCATTCTTTGGGTCTCTGGCCAATTTATGATAATACCCTACGCACACCCCCCACATCCCCAACAGTCCTCAGAAAGCAAGGAAGCGCATTCCTAGTCTAGATGCGCGTTCCACAGCAACTGTGGTCCCCCTGACCTCGTCCTACAGTGATTAAGTCAATCTGAATTTAGATCCTATTACCTCTGGAAGGCCAGGCCCTGCTGAGCTTCTAGAATAAACTAAAGACTGGAAAGAGAGCTTAACCTCTCCATCATTATTCATATATTCATGAGCGCTGGAATGTTCTGATTTCTTTTCTCAATGTGCAGCTGCCTGCTTTTCCAAAAGTGAATCAAAGTGCCGGTCACAAAGCTACATCTCAACCTGCCCACTGTTGTACGAGAGTCTCACCTAAGGTTGGGGGCTCGACGTCGTCCTCCCCTAGGAGGGTCAAGTTCATCTCCTAAAGAATGCTATTGTGATTTCACAAAGTCTTTGTTCACTCTCCAAAACATTTAAGTTCTAAAACCTCTATGGGGGAGGTCTCAGTTGCTTCCAAATTCCAAAACTGCCCATTTCTCCTAAAACTACAACTTGGAAATTTCTTTCCATTTCAAGATCTGCATACTTATTTCTTCACACAGTAATAGTGATACAAAAATAAACTTCCATTTCTTATAAGAAAAACATGAACCGAATTCACAGTTAGCCTTTTCCCATGCCGCTCTGCACTCCAACAGCTCCTGGGAACGGAGGTATATTAGTAACACAAATGGAATATTTAAAGTCCATGACTTGGGAGTAAAAGGAGCCTGTGACTCCTTGTCTTCCCCTACCTGAATCAGAAAAGGCTGCTCCTGTCCTCTGGCCCCAGGGTCCTCACCCACCCCAGCCCCCAGGACACTCGGGGCAGAGAAGGGCAGGGGGAAAGTCCAGCCTGGACTTTGCTTGGATTCGGAGCCCACCAGGGAGGGACCTCACGGGAAGATAAAGCTGGGCGTGCCTGCTGGTCCCCAGGTGAACTGTCTTGCTCTTTTAGAACCGTCATCACACTAAGGCAAGTTCACGGTCAGTCAGAACGCTGTCTTCTGGTTTCACCTCCCTCCTTTCCCTCTGCGGGGATGAGCTGCTCTGGAGAAAGCATCTCAATCTGTTCCCGGGCCACGTGGTTTCATCAGAAAAATAAAAATAAATGGTCCCTGAGGTCCCAGCCTTTACCCAGAGTGCTCCTGTACTACCGTTAAAAGGTGAATTCTTTACTGCCTGTTGCAAAAGCTTCCCTAAAGGCCTCAGTGGAAAGGTGAATAATCTCATCTTCTTACTGTGTTTGAAGGGCTTTCAGTGCATCAGGACAAATAGCCAGTTGGTCCTCATTGCCACCGGGAGGAAAAGCAGCCGCTCAGCTAGGATTTAATTGATCTTTATCTTCTAGCTAAAAGATCACAGGTTGTTACACTGATAAATGAATCTTCCCAGATGGTATTTGGAATTATCTGCACCTGGTGCTACAGTTCAATTTTTCTATCTTCACTCCCGTGGATGAAAACAAGGTTAAGTTACAGATGCAAATTCCTGTGCTAAATGATTTCCACCAACACATGAGTGAATCTGGTGCCCCTTCCACAGCCACATGGAAGAAGAGGTGCCCGGATAGGTGATGGGTGTGCAGGCACACGCCTCCTGGTTCCTGGCCACCACAGTTCCCAGAGCACGCGGGGGCCCCAGCTGTGCCGCCCGGGCAGGAACAGAACTGCCCGAGGCCTCAGCACAGCTCCGTGCCCGATGAAAGCCAAAGCTAACTCCCAGCCAAGGACCTGGCCCTCTCCTAATCGGCGCGAGAGAAGCCCTACCATTTTGGACTCCTTCCAAAGAAAGAGTCCTGAGCTAGAAGACCCGCACACATTGTCGCAAAGGCTGAATGCTGCCATCTGCCAAGCCGGCAAACTCGGAAAAACCCACTCTAACGTCAGTAAGCCCCAAGGCTGGATTCCAGGCCCCACAAGGGCTCCTGCCACCGGACCTTCTTCCAGCGTGGTCTCAGGGTGAGAGGGCAGCCCAGGGGTCAGGTGGGCAGTGTTCCCAGGTGGGCACACAGCCCCGGCCGGGCACTAGAGCAGGCTGAAATGCCCCAGGGGCGCCCAGCAGCTGGGGGGTGTGCTCCAGCAACGCCCCTCAGTCAAGGGACCACACCCCGCGGGAGGTTTCCAACCCCTTCCAGAAGGGCAGTGCTCACAAGTCATCATCCCTGGCCCTGCGGAGCTTACAGACGAGAAGGCAAGATCTCAAAGGATGCTCACCGGCACCTCCCAAACCACAGTGGATGGTTTCTCAGGAAGTATTTCAACAGTGACCGGAAACCACATCCACGTGGCTGCCGGCTTCTGCTGTCACTGCGCAGGGACTCCTGCCTGGCACCTGGCACACTTCTTCCCCTTCTAGAAGACTGGTGGCCAACGAGGCTGGGCTGGGCTGCCCACCTGAGGCACCGGGGAGAGGCAGGGGGACAGCAGCATCAGGGACAAAGGCAGCCTTCAAAGGTGACCTCCGTAACTCAGTCAAGGCGAGAAGTACTCGGGGGTCGACAAACCTGGACAAAGGTCACCTCAGAGCCAGCGAGCAGTCTGGGCAGCCAGGTAGAGAGGGCACAGCCCTGGATTCCTGGCCTTGAGAGGAAGCCCCAGTGCAGGGACGGAGCACAGGGTGGGGGCACATGTGTTCTGCTTTGGGGGTGCGTTCCCCACCAGGGCACCCAGACCCCGGCCCTCTGCACATGTGTGAGGGTGGACACACGGACATGCCAGACATACACCTGCCTACAACAGTGTGGGATTGAGGAGCCCACGATTCCAAGGGAACCACAGGAAGCCCGTTTTCACCCCACTGCCTGGACCACAGCACTTCCGAGCTTGGAGTCACAAAACCATAGAAGCAAAGCGCCCACACACAGACCGCAGAAGCGCTTAAAAAGAGAGTTCTTCCACCAGATTCCCCGATTCCACAGCAAGAGGGTCGGCCTGCGTCCTCCGAGAGAGCCTGACCCAGCCTTCCCCCACTACCCTGCTCTGACCACCCATCCCCAGGCACATCAGAAACCTTGAACCTCTCGGACTCCTCGAACAGCAGCCGGACGCGGCCCCTTAGTAAGGCCGCTCTGAGAGGCAAGAGAAGCTTCCTTCTTAAGGCAAAGCTCAGTGAAGCCTTGGCCTTGACGCACAGATCTTTTTTAGTGTGTTACTGACAGGACGCTACGCCCACCCTGTAGGGGACAGAAAAGGATGGGCGGTGCACCGTACACTTCAGTGCCCAGACGTAGCGAATCCATGTCTCTCTGCAGTTCCACACGTGAACTTCTGTAGTCCCGAGTTCTGCGTTACGGAGCTACAGCGAAAGTATTTCTGAGTAAAACAATTAGCCCTGAAAAGCTAGTCTTGAGACCAGACACCTGACCGGCCTGTTTGAAAGTTATCCGTCTGCGGTGCCCACCAGCCCGGCGGGAGCGTGCGTACAGACACAGGATGAGGGCTGCTCCGGGGACTGCTGGGCGGGCAGGGCAGGGGAAGGCGTTATCTTTTACCCACAACCTAGCGCCCTGAGTCCAAATCCCAAGTTACAGCCCCAAGACTCCACTCACAGGAGCCGGCTTCCCGTGCACTGCCTCACCTACGCTGACCTCCAGCGAGCGCCCAGCCGAAGGGAACAGGCAGGGCCTGCGGGGAGGTGGCCGGGCCACCACCTTTTAGAGGGAAGTGGACACTCGTCCCTGTTGTTGGGGGGGGGGGGGTCCCGACCACTTCCTGGGTGAAGGCACTGTCACAGTTGCTCTCTGGCAAATCTACTAGGTCTCTGGCCCAATTACTTAGCTCAGGGAACGTTCTCTCTGCCAGCGAGAAGTCTGTGCGGGCACCAAGCTGACGCACGGTCTCGTCAACGTGCTGCTCGGAGCGCCTTGCTAAATTACAGCGTCCAGTGACTGGACTCTTGTCCCGAGGCCCTACTAGTAACGCCTCCCAAGGGCTCGTCCGGGTGGAGAGACATCTCTCTACCCTGCACCCCAATTCCTCTCTCTTTGGTGGCAGCGGATGCCACTCTTTAGAAACACCCAAAGGATTCCGAGAGGATGGTTAGCCCTTAAAGGAGACTCATCTGGAAAATGAATTTGCTCAGAAGCTCCAGGGCCAGCTCTGGCCCTTAGCAACCTGCCAACCCTTCCCAGCAGGTGGGGACTCTGAGAAAGAGGGATATTCCACTGAGTGGCCGCCAGCAACTTTGAGGCAAGTCTCAAGGCTTCGTGCGACAATGCCAGTCGTCGGCTGACTGAGAAGCAGCCTCTCCCCGTCACCCTGTCCTTGGGGAAGCTCGTACTTGGGTCAGAAACAGCTCATCGTCCCACTTTGGGGCCTCTCCCCACAAGACACAGACTTGTCCCGGTAAAACAGGAAAATGGATCTGATCCCAGGGCGGGACTCCCAGAGCTGACGAAAACCTTGGAAGGTCACGGTCTAGCTCCCACCATCGCAGGGATGGGCATCCAAGGCCACTCTGGGAAGACAGCGGTCCCGTTCTTGAATACGTCAGGGGACGCAGACCGCACAGGCTTCCTGAACGGCCCACCCCGGTGTCTGCAGAGCTCGGCCGCTCCTCGTGACACAGGGCCTTTGCCACATCTCAGGTCACTCACAGGGAGGTGAGAACGCTGGAGACCCAGCCAGGCAGACTCCGTGGGACATGGTCGATTCCCACGCCGTATGAAGCAGGACACGAAACCCCCGCAGCCCCCTCTCATCCTGCCTCTCCAGAGCTCGGGAAGAACAGAGACTGCCAAAAGTACATCTGACGGGAAGTATAAACAAGATTCCTTTGTGTCCACTTAATAAAAAACGAGCCGTCCGGGCCTGGGCTGCAGTCCCGCGTGAGAGCGGCTCACCGGTCCGGCCCGCCCCTCCTACGGGCAGCAGGGGTTGTCGATGACCAGCATGACGTCGATGCCGTAGGCCTCCAGCAGGTCCATGAGGAAGCTGCGGTCCCCCTGGGGGTCCAGGCCCATGCCCCGGGCGTGCTCGGCGGTCAGCGTTTTGTCCTGACTGGCGGACACCTCCAGCAAAGTCTGGAATATCCGGTTGTTCTGCTCCAGGAAAAACCTGCATTGGAGAGGGAGACCCAGGAGGGAGGGTGGGAAAGACAAAAGCGCGCCACACAGTCCGCACCTGGGGACCATGCGACGCTGTTTTCTGTTCAGTGTGCCTTGAACTGGCTCCAGAAACCAGAAATCTTTTTTTTTTTTTTTTAAGAAAACAGGATCAAAGTTAAATGGAAGGGTTATTAAAATGCTACTAAGATTTGCAAAGAATCCACCGGCATTAATCATGGTATAATTAGCAAAACCTCTGAGCGAGCGATGGCCGGACTGCCAAAAAGCCCCTTCTCTGTTGAGGGGCTACTAGAGTTTTAAACACAGCCTTGGGGAGAGGCCCCCCAAAACTGCACTCCTCTCTTTCTGCTTAGTCATGGGGGGGGGGAGTTAAAAACCAAACACCTGATGGAGCAGCTCTGAGGTCAGGACGTCAAGTGAGGAACTGAAGGGCACCTGTGTGGGCCCCTGAGCCACCGTGGACCAGACGAGGCCGACACTGACTGTCCAGAGACGGAGCTCCCAGGAGTGGGGCGGGAGCTGCAGGTACCAACGCTGCCCCGGCTCGCCGCTATCCTCAGGTGGTTTGCTTGGATTATTCTTTTTACTTATGCACAGAGCATGACCTCAATGTCACCAACTGCTAGCACTACGTGAGTGGACGAGCCATGTCCACAGGGCTCTGGGGCTCCGCAAAGGTGACCCACACCCTGGAAGCCCTGGGCACCCAGGAACTTCAGGTACAGGGGAGGGTGTCAAACCTGGAGGACACCGCTGGCTCTTTGCTCAATTCTCAGACACTTGCTGTATCTGAACGGCTTTCTAAGTGAGCATCGGAAAGCTCACTGTCTTAGAGTCCCAGTAATGCCCTTTGTAGAAACATCAACAGTAAGTTTTCAACACCAAAGCCAGAAAGGGTGCTAACCGCAAGCGCTGCTCCCTGCCCCCCTCCCAGGACATGGCTGAAGCCCAAACAGGAAGCCACTGCAGTTCTGTCCTCATCAGCGAGTGCTGTGTCATCAGCTACTTATAAATGAAACCGATGAGCTCAGGGATGAAGGCCAGACTCCTGCCTTGACCACCAACAGGTCCCGGGAAGAGATTCCAGTAGGTGCAAGAGCTGAGTGTTCAGATTATCCCACAATACTCAGTGCAGAGGACTGCGCTATTCAAAGGAAGCGGTGGATGAGAAGTCCCTGAGTCCTGAGCGACAGACAGAGCTTCTGTGCCGTGGACAGACCCCAAGACCCGAGTTTTCCCTGAATGACCTTCCCCTGCTGCTTTTCTTCACTGCTTTGCATCCCCTGCTGACGGCATCTCGGGCTCTGGGGCTGGTGGCCCGGGGCCCAGCTCTAAGTGCCCCGCGCAGTGTGGACACAGGAGGGGCTGAGTACAAACCTGGTGCCGTGGAGGGGCCCCTGGTGGGCCTGCCAAGCTCAGTGACCAAAGGAACCGCGCGAATGCTCCAATCACCTAACTGGGCAGGTCATGGCTGGTAGTCACACCCCACGTGTGTAGCTCCCTTAGCGAAGGCCAGTCTTTGAGAGGGCTCTGCCCACTGTGCCCCCACAGCCAGGATAACCTGCCTTTGAAAGGTCAGAGCCACTCCTCTTCCAGACCCCACGAAGGCATGGCATGGCCGCCGGCACCAGAGCGCCAGCCACAGAGCCCCTCCCTCACTATCTTCTTGGTCTCCCTTCTCTGTGCGCTCTAAGTGCTCATTACTAGCTATCCCGTACCCACCAATGAAAAAGAACTATGTGCTTCTCCATTGGCCCTGTATCCAATCCCAGAGACTTCCCTGCTTTGCTTTGTCCCGCCTCCTTAGTCTGCCACCAATTGGATTTCATGCAACCTTCTTTTTGTCAATTCTGATGGATAAAATAAGCTGCAAACTGCCATTCTCTGGAGCACTTGAGAGTTTGTTCCCCAGCAACCGTTGGTTTGGCTCAATACAGCTGCACAAATGCTGTACAAGTACAGGCAGTTCTCACACTACAGCGGCAATTAAGGACCCCCTGGACTGCGGCACGATACGGGGACAGATCCAGGCTACAGTGCTGGTGCTAAGAGACCCTCGTGAGGCCCCGCGGCCCAGCCCAGGCAACTTACAGCACGAAGAGGTCCTCCTCACATGGGCTGTAGTCCTCCTCCACCTCCTGGGAGTACAGCAGCGTCTGCCTGTCGTGGGGAGTCCCCGTCAGACTGTGCGAGCTGCGAGGGCCCCCATCCGCTAGGTCATCGTGCAGGCGTCTGCACGGGCCGCCCCATCCCGGGAGGGAGAGTGACCCCGAGGGGCACCCCCTGCCCGACCCTGTCCAAACTGCCTGACCCCGTCCAAAGGCAGGGTGAGAAGGGACTGGAAAATAAACAGGGCTGGGAGTCAAAACTCCAGGAGCCCAGGGCTGGTTCCGGCCCAGTGCCCCTGAGGCAAGTGACAACCCTTCCTAAGTGCCCATCCAGCAGGGATGAAAATGAGGCTGTTCGTTCCACAAGACACCACATGCGGGGAATCGCACCAGGAGAAGCATGAGCAAGAGTTCAGTGCTGTGGCACCCACACCAGACACTCAGGGCCCAGCCTTCGGATGTCCATCGGAAAGGAGTCCCCCCGTGGGTCTGCTGCCCTGTCCAGAGGCTCCGAGGGGTGGGGGGCTCAGCTTCCTCACTGCCCATCACCCAGGAGGCAGGCAGGCCCACGGCCAGGAATGAGCGGTGAGGGAAGGGATAGGCGGCACGGGTTTGACTGAGGCCCCGGCTCAGAGGTCCCACCTGGGGGACGTCGGTCAGAGTGTGTGCTGGCCGGCTGTGCCTGCTCCTGCCACCGGCCCCGCCCCTGTCCCCAGGCCCCGCTACCTCTGCTCGTTGAGCCTCCGGTACTTCTCCCGGTCAGCACTGTTGATCTTCAGCAGGGGCTGCAGGTGGTCGTGGTGCGTCTTCACGTTCTGGTTGTCCACGTAGACGTCGTACAGGTCTCGCTTCTCCTCGAAAATCTTCTCTGTGGTGCCTGTGGGACCCGCGGTCAGGAGGTGGGACCCCGAGGCTGTCACCGAGGGCACCAGCCCGGCCACAGGGGGAACCAGGAGCCGGGGAGCCCGAAGACCGTGAGCAGAAGGGCCCTTGGGGAGCTGGGAGACCATCCTCTGGGTAGGGACCTGGGGGTGGGGGGGCCGTGCTTACAGGCCACGTAGGACACCTCCACCTCCAGGCTCTCGATGTCGGCCACGTTCACGTAGAAGAAAGGCTTGGACTCGGGGATGGTGCCCCCGATGCCGGGCAGCGAGACGTTGGCCAGGCAGCAGCAGCAGTACACTGGTGGGTGGAGACAGTGACGGGGGGAGCCTGCCCCTCCCAGCCCCTCCTCCTCCTGCAAGCCCGCTGGCCACCTCGGGGCAGCCAGCCTCCCCGATGCTAACGAGGGCTTGGCTTTGTGCCAGGGGTCCTGCTTTCTGAGGAGATGGCGGGCAGGGGCACTTTTAGGTGCCCTGGCAGACCCTGATCTCAAGGCCCCGGCAGCAATGCCCTACCAAACCCAGGGGACGGGTCTCAGCCCTCAGCACAGCTGGGCTGGACGCAGCACTGCTGACCTTGCCCAAACTCTCACCTACTGTAACCCTCCCACCTTCCCGTTCCTGCCTCCTGACTGACATTCCGCCTCAGTCCCCTCTGTCTGCCACCTTTACAGTTCCCATCCTATGCCTGCACCTTAAACCCTGGCGCACCTCTGCTCACTCGCTGTCCCCACAGGACACCATCCATCCTGGGGTCACCAGTTCGGTATGAGGACCTGTCAACTTCTTCTGCAGCCCAGCTGCTCCCCCAGGGTGCGGACCCAGCGGCACCGGTGCCCAGCGGACACTGTGAGATGGCCTCACCGGCAGCCCACGCTCACCAAGTCCAAGGCTAGCTCTCACACCACCTATACCTCCCTGGTGCCCATCTGGTGGCCCCACCATCCTTGTCATCCTAGACTGGTCGCCCATCACAACCGCACACCGGTCAGAATCCCACAACCCAACCACACTCCATTCATTGTCAAGCTCATCCCTTAAACACGAGGACATCTGGCATCCACCTTCTCTGCAATAGCTCAGATCCTAATCTGTCACCAGACTACGGGTACGTCACCCAGCCCATCTGCTTCGCCACCACAGCCCGCATTTGAAAACACAGATCCAGCCACATCACTCCCAGGCTTGAAACCCGTGACCCCCTTGATAAGGCCCCAGCTCTTCTGAACACGGTCAACAACGGAAAGACTCAAGTGGCTTCTGCCCCAGGGACCCAGGAAGAGCCCCTGACACCGGCCTCTCGTTACCTCTGTAGCACACGACGCCCACAGGAGGCGGAGAAAATATCAAAATGCGCTTCCGAAGTAAGGCAAACTTCCAGAGGATGAGGATCTGCTCCCCGAAGAACTTGATGAACTGAGACATGCAGCCGGCCGGGTGTGTGATCTGAAGGAAAACAAAAGGGAGGCGGGGGGTGGGGTAGGGGGAGGGACAGCTTGTCAGAGCATCATTAGGAAAAATACTCAACGCGGGCTGGTGCAAACCCTGCCACTGGAAATAAAACCCCCAGAGTACAACCAAACAGACGCAGGGATGTTACTTCCACATAAAATGGTGTTTTCCTCTTTCAAGGCCTCATCCTGAAACCAGATTTCTGTAACTCAAATGCTGCCCTGATGCTGGAGTTCAAGTTCAAGGATGGTTAACTACTTCACTCAGGAGAGAGAGGTGCCAAGGACACAGGACTGGATGTAACTTCTTAAGCATCAGAAATACACGTGCCTGTGAAGTGACAGGACACCTCACCAAGGACATTCAACACACAGACGTTCCTGAGCACTGGGAGGAATAAAATGACGAGCACACCGTCCCAGGTTAGAGCCCCAAATATATCGGGACTGGCTTCTGTGCAGAATGAGGCGTCTGCACAGGGAGCAAGGCCCACAGGGCTAGTTGGAGGAGCGGCCCGCAGCACTTCAACTCCGACCATCGCGCCTTCCACGCTAAACGCAGGGGCCTGTCAGCTGGACAGTATGGTATGGAGGCCCTCAGTCCAACTGCCTGCCCGCAAGGAACTCGGAGTTCCCAGCAGCTACGTGAGCACGAAAGTGGATACACTTCCCCAGTCGAGCCTTCAGCTGAGACCCCTACCCTGGCTGACACCTTGGCTGTGGTCTCACAAGTGACCACGAAGCAGAGGACCCAGCTAAGCCGTGCCTGATTCCTGACGCACCAAAACTATAAGATAATAAATACGCACTGGTTTAAACCATTAATGTGGGAGCACCACTGGCCATATGCCTTCCCTCAGTCTGGACTCAGCCTCCCTCACTTTCTGGCTTGCCAAACACTTCCGGGGCCACCTCCTCTTCCAAGAGGCCTTCCCAGATTTCTCCCTTGAACTCAGGACCTAATTTCTCTACCAGGAGGCCGAGGTATCCACAGAAATATCTTCTGATGACCTACACGGAAGGTGGGGAGAAGCTTCAAACTCATAGTCATCTTTATTCCCTCCCAACACCTAACACTTGGCCAGGTGTTTTGTTAACTGTAAACAAACTTATTCTAGTACAAAGGCAAAGTACTTCAGGAAAAATACACAAGAAAGCAATATCCAAAATACTGTCACTAAGAAATATCATGCCTGTTATAATGCTTTACTGTTAGCTCAAATGTCTGACCTTAAAAATATCTGAAGCAAGAATCAACAGAATCAAACCCGCCTCTTCCCCCACAGGAATCCACCAGGACTACCTATGAGCGCAGCTTTGAACCATGATGGCGAAGAGTCTAGAAAGCATTTTGTTTCAGAGAACCTGCTTTATGTTTTCAAAGAACCCAAATGCTAAAGTTAGCAATGCTACTCTATCAAAAGCAGACTTTGGGCAGGAGCCCAATACATAAATTCCTTATTCATTAAGAAAATAATTTAGCACTACTGTACGTAGACACGAGCCCCGGGCATGTGAGGGGCGGCAGACCTCACCTTCATCTCAGGGTACATGTACCGGTGGATGGATGGCAGCCAGTAGACGGGGGGCAGGCTGCCACCTCCCCCGGGGCCAGCGTGGAGCACCCCCTTCTTGTCTTCGTAGAAGGCAGCCAGATGGGAGTAATGTCCCGGCGTCTCCAGCTGGTGTCTGCAAACACACGGGTGCACAGTGAGACGGGCTGCTGCCACAGCTTGGCCACTCATCAGTCAGCCCCTCTGCCCGGCCCCGACAACTACGTAGGGGCAAAGGCCCAGATAAACTGAAAAGGCCCCTTTTCTGAGGTTGCCCCGGGATGCCTCCTCGGGAATTACACAAGAGCCTTGGGAAAAGCTCCGGCGTGGGGCCCGATACCGCTCTACAACTCATTCCCCTTCTCACGGGAAATGGGCGGAAGTAACGGACTGCGACTAATGCCTTTGTTTGTGAGCGAGGTAGGCTGGGGACCGACCGTGTGGGCTTCCCAGAGCGTGGCCGCGGGCCAGGAGAAGGGGTGACTTGGAAGACCACCGATTCCCTGCTTCAAGCTGCCCTTTGTTTAGGATTCATGCTTGCTGGCTGGCTTTGTTGTTATAAAAGAATACGAGGAAGCTTACCCCACAGTATCTCAAAGAAGAGGAAACCATTATTGTAGGATGTCACTAAGGGCTCAGAACTTCTGCACCAAGTTATAAATAAAACACTCAGAATCTCTTCTCTTTCTACCCCCATCCTGCCCGGGGTGGCAGGGCCTTGGTGGTGGGTGGCCCTGACCCCCAAACCAAGAAAACTTCACCGAGGCCCTTGACCATTTGGACAATGGAGAATCCTGCCTTCAAGGCGAATGCAGGAGCACAGCGATTATTATTTGGCACTATGTTTAATGGGGGTGTTAAGGATTGAACAGTGTCCCCTCCTCCCCCCCCCAAATATGTTGGAGGCCTCAGACTGTGACCTTATATGGAGAGAGGGTCTTGGTTTAGGTGACTCCTAAACCAATATGACTGGGATATTTCTAAAAGGGAAATTTGGGCGCAGAGAGACACCCATGAGGAGGATGTTATCAGAAGATGAAGGCCCAGGCCCGGAGGGATGACCTACGAGCCACAGGGGTCGAGATTGCCAGCAAACCGGACCCTGGGAAACCACATTCCCGTGGCTGTGAGTCACCCAGCACCTGGCACTTAGTGTCAGCAGCCCTGGGACACCAAACATAGGCAGGAATTCAAAAAGGCACTTACACCTTTTTATTAGCTTATTTGTATTTTTGCGGCACCCTTCAATTTCCATCATGTGGAAACAAAAAAGAACAAAAGTCAGTTTTATTGAGCAAGGGGGTGGCACCCCTGCTTACAACTGGGCCTGGACCATTGAGGACTGACTGAGGCAGGCAAGCTCCCCAAACTGCCTCGGTGGCACGAGACACTCCGATCGGAGATTCTCACTGTCCCGCCAGCAGCTGGCCGCCCCTCCGCAGTGACTCGGACCTCCCGGGTCCAGTCTATGCCTGCCGCTTCGCCTCTGCAAGATCTCAGGCAACTTGACTAACCATTTTAAAATCCACTATTTGCTTTGTCCTTACACTACATTTTAGTGGACACCAGCGCCACCTCGGTATTTTTCTGAGCTGTAAGTGAGGTCGGGTAGAAAAAGCAGCTTGCGCCATGGATGACACATCAGTCTCCCAGAGAACTACGTTTCTTCTTCCCGGCTCTCCTGCGGCGCCCAGCCTGGATGCTGGGAGGGCTCAGGGCTGAGGTAAATGGGGACGATTGTGGGCCAGCCCTGGGACAGACCTTCAGGCAAACTTACATTTTAAAGAGGAAAGCCATCAACTACATTCCACAAACGATTAGTGAAATAAGGTTCTCCCAGATCAGCAGCTCCCGAACTCAGGGCTCCTGCTCATCCCCCCTCCGGCTTTGTGCAAGGAGGCTGTGATGGGCGAGGACCCCGCAGGGGGCGCTCACAGCCGTTTCTCCAGTTCTCACAAAATGCTCAGGTGTGGACGGGAATCGTGATGACTCGGGTGTGTTTGTCCAGCTGAGCAGATGGGAGATTTCGGGTACTTTTCAGGGGGGTGTGTCAAATCGATGCAAATTTGGGTCTTACAAAATAACACAAAGATGACTGAGTTCAAGGATGTTTTCCTTAGGACCTAATTTCCCTAAAAAGAACAGTGAGAATCATTTCATTGTATTTTTAATAACGCATTTGCTGTGTCAAAGGGGGCTGCCTCAGGGTAATTTATGTGAGACTTTGTCATTTGCCAGGCTTGTGGTTGAGGTGCTACTCTAATGACCATCTTTTCTGTGTGGCCACATCAAATGCTGTGCCACCAGGGCTGTCCAACCCACAGCCCCTGGGCAACATGTGGCCCAGGATGGCTATGAAGGTGGCCCAACACAAAACTGTAACTTTACGTACAACTTTTTTTTCAACTCATCAGTTTGTGTGAGTGTTTGTGTATTTAATGTGCGGCCCCAGACAAACTCTTCTTGTTCCAGTGTGGCCCACAGACGCCAGAAGGAGGGCCTCCCCCTTGAACCAAGGTTCTAAAGGGAAGCTCTAAGTTCGAGTCCTGTAGACTCCAGTCCTGTGGTCCCATTGCCGGACCCTGTCCCCTGACGGCCGCCCCTGACCAACGGAGCCGAACAGGAAGAACGTGAAATGCAGACTAGGAGCACACACATCAGTATGAATGGGCAGTTCCTGCGTAAATGCTAAACAATGTGGTGTGAAAGCCTCGAACTTCAAATACACTATGGATTTTGCAGTAAACAAGACTGATCGTCAAACCGTACTACGAGGACACATTGAAAGACACTGAAGCACCGAAAGACCCGGAAGCAAAGCTGAGAGTGCCCGAAGGTAAAATGGGAGTCGAAGAGGATGCAAAAGGAGACCTTCCTGGTGAGCTTACCTATTAGAAGGCACAGATTACGACACCACCATGTGGAGATGCAGGCCGAGCATCTATGGGAGATGTCCAAGAAACTTGACATTGCAACTGACATACCCTAGGCTACTGATCTGGGCCACTGCTTCTGGGCCACATCAAGGATCCCTGGTGAGACCAGAGATGCTGGTGGTCTCCTTAAACCCAGAGTCCTCTCACTGATAACACACTTGTGTGACCATGCAGATGCCCACTGCGACTCTCCCCACCACGCCCAGCAGTAAGCCACCCGGCGTAAGAATGAGAGGTGGCCCCGTGCAGGACAATACACCACCGCTCCTGTGTATCCACCCTCGGTGCAAACCAGCCTGTCTTCGGGCTTTGCAGGTACAGAAAAGCACGCATCCCTAGGGACTGCTGGTGCGGATCCAAAATGGTCCCACCTTCTGGAGGATCCCTTGCAACTTGTATTAAATTGTACACTTGTAAAGGCTGTTTAAGCCTTTGACCCAAAGATGCCATTTCTAGGAATGTGGCCAAAAGAACTGTATGTGGACATGAACAATCATTTGCCTGTGGGGTATTCATTTTACAGTGGTGAAAAGTAACCAACCACCTAGAAGCCCCAAAACGGTGAAGTGGTTAAATAAATTGTGGTCGCCTGTGTGCTGACATGCTATGAGCCCACCCAAATGATGCTGAAGACTGTCCGTCATGACACACTGAAAGGCTAACGTAAAGTGAGAGAATTTAAATACCAAGTGATGGATTTTATAAAAAATTACCGTGTGCGTATTTACACGTAGGGAAGAGACTAGAGGGCTATAAGTGTTAACAGTAGACATGACTGGCTGGTGGGATCGTATTCTTCTTTTTTTGAGTTTTTGTCTTATTTTTCAAAGTGTGATCATTACATGTTAATTTTGTGTTTAGTCTTTTTAAACATTTTGTTATGGAAATTTTCAATTATGCACAGAGTGTAGAAAGAAGGCAATAATAAACCCTTTATTGATTGATCACTTAGCTTCAACTGCAACCAACGCTTTATGAACAGGGTCCAATCTGTGCCCTACTTCCCAGTTCACTCCTTTTCCTGAAATATTTTAAAGCAAGTCTCTAACCTAACACTTCACCTGGAGATACCTGGGGACGCGTCTCTGATGGAGAAAATCTATTTAAAAAATATCACCACCGTGCCTAACAACATCCACAGTAATAATATCTTAATATAGACGGATACCCAGTCCACATTCGAATTATACCCACCATCCCCAAAATGTTGTTTTACAGTTAGTTGTTTGAATTGAGAGCTAAGCAAGGTCCAAAAATGTCGGGATGTGTCTTAATTCCTTTTATTTTACAACACTCAGTCTTCCATTTTCTGAGTTTTTTTATATCATAAAATAGCTCTCCAATATTTTCTAATGATTAAGAAACAGTTATAGAAAGGACTCTCTCACTAGAAGATACTGAAGCCAAGAGTTGTAGGAGAAATACTAATAAATAAGTTCATGATATCAGAGACATCAGAAATAAAAATGAATATAGATCAGAGGTCAGGTGTTTTCAGAAATGCAGTCTGGTTAACTTCTACACACGGCAGGGCTGTAAACAAGCCGCCTTCCCGCCCAGACCCCAGCCTCACTCCCGGCGCTGCTGTCTGTTCCTCGTGCTCTGCCCTGCGGGTCTCTTGTCTCACGTGGCCTGAGCCCCCTGCAGTCGCCAAGCTGGAAAAGCTCTCTAGCTATAACTCACAATCTAGAAGCCAGAAAAAGATGAATGAATTCAATGAGGAAAAGAATCTGCATAGCAAAAAAGTAATGGCACACAATAAAGAACAAAGTGGAAGAATATTTCCAATTTCTATCACAAAGAACAAAGCCCCCATTATACAAAGAACTTGCTAGAAATTAGGTGTTAAAAGGCCAACAACCAAAAACAAACGTAGCAAAGGCTGGGAACAGTTCATGAAAAAGACAAATGGCTGAAACTCAACCTCCCTTAAAACGATAAAAATGAAAATTAAAACTACTCACATACCATGTTTTACCTAGCAAAACGCCAAACCTCCGAAACTTTGGGAAACAGCACGCCTCTGCGTTCCTGCAGGGCATGCAAAACGGTACAGTCTGCACGGAAAACACTGTGACGACGTCTGTTGTCGTTACAAATACACAGACCCTTCGGACCACCAATTTCATTTCAGGGACTTGATGTGCACATGCTCTACTCACATGTGAAACGATACTTGTTGGTGGGTATTCGGTGCGGCATCACCTGTAACAGCAACACACTGGGAAGAACCAAGTGTCTGTCAATATGAGACTTGACAAAGAAAACTTGGTTCTTTTACCCAGGGCACCTTTACAACAGGAAGAAACAACGAGGAAGCTCATTGTTGAAGACAGGAGAGATGAGAAGACCTCCCAGATGCAGCGTTGAATGGAAGGGGAAGGTACAAAACATGTACACCTGCTACTTTTCATATGAAAAGCAGGAAATGAGGCTCTACACCTGTGTTTGCATAGACACGTACACAGAGTCTAGAAAGAGACACGAGACGCTGACAGTGATTCCGGGGGATTACTGGACGGATGTGGGACCTGGGCAAAGACTCTTCATTGTATGCCATTCTCTTCTTCCCTTAGTAGCAGAACCTTCCAAATTTTAGCTGCTCACATGGCCACCAAGTTAAGGACCACGTTTCCCAGACTCCCTTGCTGCTAGGCATGGCTAGTGACTAAGAAGTGGCCAATGGAAGGTGAGGAGAAGCCATGTGTTCCTGGGACGCCTGTGGCTTACGCCTTCCTGCATGCAGGAATAGGGCTTGCTAACAAGCAGGTCTCTACCATGTGGATGAAGACACTTCTCTAGAATATGGCAGAATACAAGGCAAAGCCTGGGGTCCCAGGATGACCCAATAAAACAGAGCCACCTACCACTCTGGAATGCTTCTCTCCCTTAGGGACTATCATGCTTTAAAAAAAAAAAAAAAAAAAAAAAAGCTGTACTTCTGTCTTGTTTGATTCACTGCACTTTGGAGATCTTTATTAAAGCGACCTTGCCCAACCAAAGTGATACCCAGAAATGAGTTACCACAGTGTCAAAACCATGTTGTGGCATCGGCTTAGCAGCTGGCAAGGGGAGGTGGTACAAAAATGGATATTGCAGACTCTAAAGCTGGTAACCCCTGCTACACTATAGCAAAAAATTTAGTAAAACTTTAATAACTTTTGAAGACAGGTCCTATGTCACCTGAACTTGAAGCTTTAGGGGCAGCCGTGGGAAACAGGATGCTGATTGCTCCCTGCTGTTTTCTAGTGAGCTACTCCAAGAGTAAGACGAAAAGAGGCAAGAACCGACAGGTTCATAAGCCAACGTGGAAGGAAATACAGCCCAAGGGGAGTGTATTCTCCCTGAGCTCTGCCATGTAAATTAAATGAGACTCTAATCATTTGGGACTAGAAAAGCCAATTGCTTCTGTACCCCAAACGCAGGAGATAAGAATTTCTCTCAAAGCCTCTCTAGTTAAGTTTATTCTTGGCCAGACGAAGGAGTCAGACCATTTATAAAAATGAGATTGAGGGTCCCACCTCCAGGGAGTTGCCTTTAAAATGAGGGAAAGATGGATGCGTCGAGAACAGACACCAGGAACTAATCTGCAGTCCACCGGCCTAAAAACCGAGACCCATGAGAGACCCATAGCAGCAGGTACTTACTTCTGGAGCCAACTGACAGCAAACGGACTAGAACCCTATTCGGTTTTTGAGGGATGTGTATGGTCACGTGAGCGGCCTGAAAAGTCTGTGACTTTTTGACCCTTAAAGAAACCACTAGACCCCCGATCTACACTAGCAGAAAAAGTGTCCTAAAGCTATGCAGCCCCAAGAAGCGGTTCAGAAGTGGCATGCAGGAAGGTGGCCGAGAGGATTCTGGAGAGGAGAACCAAAGGTTAGCCAAGGGGCCTCCGCAGCCCCTGCTGGCGGAGCTGTGTTATGGTTATGGACTAACGATGGCATTTCGCATCCCCCCCCCCTTTCAAGCAGGAGTCAATGTGGTGGTTTCTACTCCAGCTTCCATGCAGCATTTGGGAGGTGGGGAATGGATGAACTTGTCTCCTCTTTCATAGGTTTCTGACGGGGAGCAGTGTGCCCTCATCTAATGAGAAGGACTGTCCATGTCACACAGAAGTCCTGGGTTTCGTTCGGCCTGAGGCATTCACTGAATGAAGCCCCGAGTCCCTCTTGAGGTGGGAAAAACGTCCTCCACGTGTGGGAAGGAGAGCACACATGGGAACCTCCGCAGCCAGAGGGGCAAACGAAGGCAGGGGTTGCTGATTTCCCCCACAAATCCATTCTTCCCACTCGCTGTTTGTAACAGAAGTTGCAGGATTTTCATTGGTCAGGAGGCTGCCCACCTAGGGACAACCTTTCCCAGTCCCCTCTGCTGTGAGGCATGTCTCTGTGACCAAGAACGTGACAACGGAATGAGAAGTGATATAGGTGACTTCCAGGTGTTTCCTCTCCCTGTGGGCTGGAATCAGATGTAGCGGCACTGAGTGGCTTTGAGCATTTGAGAAGAACAGCTCAGAGGACAGGAAATGCTCTTAGAACTTGGTGGGACACCCAGAGAAGCAGCATGGGTCCCGGAGTGACTGCAAGGAAGCGCAGGCTGCCCACCCTGTACCTGCCTCTCTGTACACTGTCCCCAAGGAGAAGGACCTTCCGGCTCATCCGCGTCATTGCATCTCGGGGCCTCTGTTACCACCACTCAGCCAGGACCCTGATTAATACCTCCATGTAAGTTTAGAATGTCCTGCTTATTTGGGAAATTCATTTTGTCCAAAAAAATAGTATTTTTTTAAAGAGTCAGGATCCCATTAAATTTTTTTCACTCTATAATATTAATTCTGAAACACAAAACTGAGTATTTCAAATAGAGAAAAAGACATATGCTGGAAGCTGTCCACCATGGCTCCCAAATGTAGAGAAACATGCTAAATGTTCAACTCCAGGGAATAACTGAGTCAACTTCTGGGCCAGCTCTACCTTTATAAGCTATTAAAATAGTCATCAAATGATAGATAATATAATCTATCATTATAGTATGATAGAAATATGGAGAAAACGTATGCATAACTGGTGCTCCCGAAGAAGAAAAAACATGCAATGCAAAAGCTGAATTGTTATAGAAGGAAAGCTTCCTGAAATGAAAAAAAAAAAAAACATATCTGTAGATCCAAGGGGACAAACTATTCCAGGAAAAATAAAAAGTTCAGAAACAACAGAGGTCGAGAAAGAACCTAAGGCACCCGGAGAGCAGCAACTTCTCTAGCACAATGGTGAGCAGAAGGCGGCACAGCCTCCTGAGAGGAAGGAGGAAAGACCCAAGCTCCGAACCAGCTGGGAGGAAAGGTAACAAAAAGATTAAGCAGGGGGTGACCTCAGGGGAAGCAGTACCCACAATCCTTTCATGAGGAAAAAAAAAAGTGCTTGATGGCAAAATCCAACCAACCAAGAGATAAATCAGGTCAGGAACTCAGGAACGGACCAAGCCACATGGAGCCCCGGGTGTGGTCGGAAATACCCAACTGGGACTGGAGAACTGTGGGCGTTATGACTCTGAACTCCATGCCATGGGTCTTGCTCACTGCAGACAGAGACGGGAAGGAGGGGAGGCGCTGGGCAGGCGTAGAAGACGGTGGACTCCGTCAGCAGTTGGAACACTATTTACAAACCAGTGATACCTGTCCAAAGGTTTCTGCACTTTACTGTACATGTTATCTCTCACTCAAAATAGGAATGGCACCATCTCTTCCTGCTTTTCATCGTCTTTTTTCTTAACTTTGGGGGAATGGATCAAGAAATAATATATCTTACTGTGAAAAAAAATCCCCTTGAAGTTTGACAATTCCTTCAGTTTCATTTCCTCTCTTCCCGATAGATACCAGTAAAATTAAATATAGTTCATGAACACAGGTAGCTATTTGATCAAATGAAATCTTCATAAAATATGAATCCTAGTTTTATTTCTATTTTAGAATGGCATTCACTGCATATTGAGAATGGATCTCTCTCCTGAGTGGTAAGATTTGGGAGGATTTTTAAAATTCACTTGTACTTCTATATAAATTATTAAATAAACATGCTTTTCCCCACAAGCAGTAAATTTCATGTTCTTTCAAAGATAATGATCAAGACAGATTATTACATTAAAAATCAAAATGATGATAACATTTTAAAATAGAGTATGATGCAGAGGATGTATTTTTTAAAGCGCACACCTACATAGGAGAAAAGAGGCAAATGTGCTAAAATTTTGACAGTGCTTTAGGGTTTATGGATAGATTTCTCCCTCAAAAATCTGGAATGCTTACATCATGAAAAAGAATACTAAATGACTAATAAATAGCATTGCTAGTTCTACTAAGAACTCCCTATCTGTTACCCACCATAGTAATAATTACCCTAAATAATAAATTATGAGGTTTAAAAGAGGTTAAGGGTCTGCCCACATGGGGCAAGGAGACAATTATTGGGGCAGAAAAACAAAGATTGTGCGCAGGACAGCAAACTGTTTAATTAGACCAAATTGATGATAGTAGCAAAATAACCTGAAACCGAAATCTAGCCCAGCTGTTGTGACAGTGTGAAGACCAGCGTGCAGGGCACTTGGCTGAAACAAAAGGCCTGCACCTGAGGCATGAGGAAATAGGGCCGTGACAGTTCTCGGAAAGGCGCCTGTCGCCTGGGCATGCAACCCGGACCGCCAAGGGCTCACCGGGGCATCGGCCGGCAGGGCCTTGCTGCCGCCCCTCCACGCACCCGTCGTACGTAAGCCACGTACCGAACCTGGTTCTCCAGGAAGTGCATGTACCGGTAGAGCAGCGTGTAGGATGGAGACAGGATGCCCACAGACTTCATGCGTGCTCCACGCTCCAGCTCGCTCTCCACGGGCATGTTGGCGAAGCAGGCCAGGCCGAAGAAGGGCCCCTTCCGGAAATAGCTTCGAAATCAGAGACAGAGAATCTGTGTTGCTTTGGTTTTCCATTTGAGATGCAGCCCCCAAGAAAAGAAGTCACTGTGTCCAGGGCTCTACATGAGAAAGCTCAGCCTAACAAAACCACATTTCTAGAACCTCAGGGGAACAATTAGCCTAAGCTGCTCAGCCTCATGACCGAGACGTCCGAGGCTCACAAATTACGGAGCTCGCCAAGGGCCGTCCAGCTGGAGCCGGGACTGATCCCTGGCAGGCCCGCTACTCCGGCGCCTTTCTCTGCTCCAGCCTGATGACGGATGACCCAGTGCACAGACCGTCTGCGGGCCTGTCTAGAACCAGCGTTCTGCTTCCTCAGCATAAACCTTGTTCACTCTTTCCTCACTTCCTGGGGCTCTGATGCCTTTCACAGAGCACGTGACCAGGGCCGCGGCATTTCCTTCCCCTTTCTCACACTGGCTGGTCAAGGTTGCAGCCCACTGAGAAGATTACAGCCACTTTATCACCTGCATGCTCTTTGCTCTTCCCAAGAACCTTAATTACACAGGACTACAAACTGGCCTTACTGAAAGCTGAACTTTCCCATTTTAGCACATAAACAGCTTGAGTTAACTGAAACTAAACCAAAACGGCACATTTTCATTGGAGCCAAAGCTCAAGGGAGGTCCAGTCATTTCTTAGAAAGGGAAAGATGTTCTAGGGTAGTTCTTAACTTTTTTGGGTCATGAAATCCATGGACAACCTGATGAAAAGTAGGGACCTTCTTGCTAGAAGAATGATATAAACACAAAACTATATATGTTTTTTCCAGGGCATTTACACACATGTCCTGCAGATCCCCGAAAAGAAGCCTTATGCTCTGGGGAAAGTATAGGGTGGAGAGGAAATGATACAGAGAAGACTTACATCCACAAGGACTTACATGAAATCGGACTGGATTTTATGGGACCCACTGGCCATAGACTTGAACTCGACGCCTTCAAGGTCAATATCTTGAGGTAAACACCATTCCACCATGTTTCCTGTGGGGAAGGGAGAACATGAGTTAAAAGAAACAAAAGCATGCAAAGAACAAGGCTGAGTGCAGGGCTCAGCACACACGGCTCCTCAGGAAATGTATCAATGACTTGTAAAACTTCTGTTTACCTCAACGATGTACTGTGTATGCACAGAAAATCTGATAGGAAGTGTCATCGTAACTGCACAGCTCAAAGAATCTCCCCACCGTGCTTATGAAGCCAGCGCCCAGACCAAGATGCAGGCATTATCTGCACATCGGTAGCCCCTTGTGCCCCGCCAGGTCGTCAACCCTCTCCCAAGGGGACGATGGTCCTGACCTCTAACGCCATACATTAGCTTTGCTGCTCTTAAACTTTTAGAAACGCGGTCACGGCTTACATTCTTCTGTGTCTGTTTCTTTTCGCTCAATATATTTTTTTGCAGGACTCATCCATGTTGGTGCCTGGAGCAACAGTTTGTTCACTGATTACTTCCATCCTATGTGTGTGATGCTGTTTACTTAATCGTTGATACTGATTTAGCTTATTTTCAGTGGAATGCTATTACAAATAGCACTGCTATAAGCCATCTGTGGAATACGCACGGCCAGGCCGAGCTCCATTGCTCAGAACTCCCTTCCCTGCAGGTTTCCTGTCGAGACTGGGAAGGCAGAAGTGAAGCAGCGCCACGATGTATTTACCACTGGTTGGTGCGGCAGGAGCGCCAGGCAGCTCACACCGTGGGGTGGCAGCCAGGCCTGCTGAGGCCAGACCCACCTTCCCCTGGATCTTCTTCCAGCTCTTCTGGCCCCTGAGCCAGGAGTGTTTGGTTCCATGGCATTCTGGGTATCAGCTTCATCAGGATACCCACACCGGTGGTTCAAGTGGAGGCAGTGACGGACTGACCCAGGTTTCCTTCCCACCTCATCAGTTCCAGTGTGGTGCTCTCTCCCTCCCTCTCTCCCCCCAATTTTACACCCTTCTTCCTTAACTGCTCAGCCAGAACACACTGAGCTCTATCACCAGACACAAAGACAACAGCCGCAAAAGGGGTCTGCCCCGTTGCCACCTGGTGCAACACCGAGTCCCTGGTTCTGCCTCCCGGACTGAACCTTGGCTGACACCACGTGCACAGGTCCCCGTGGCCTGCACCACGAGACGGGCTGCTGTAAAAATGCGTGAGTCACTGCAAAGTAGAAAATGCCAACAGCTCCCAAAGGAGTGTTTTCCAAAGTTAGATGAACAGGGATTCTGCAAAACGGAAAACATGTTTGTAAAAAGGGATTTCAGCCAAACCACCTTTGTTTAAGTTATGTAAAGATGGACACATCACGGCACTGCGGGACTTCTCAGGGCCTTCATATGTTGCTGTGTGCTGTGAATCTCTATGAAGTGAATACAGTGTTTGAAGTTTCTGCAATTTTTTGGCCACTAAGCCTATTTTTAAGGGGCATCTAGCCCTGGATGCTGTGACTCAGTGGATTGAGCACCAGCCTGCTAACCAAAGGGTTGCTGGTTTGATTCCCGACTATGGCACATGCCTGGGTTGTAGGCCAGGTCCCTGGTGGGGGGTGCACAAGAGGCAGCCACACAGTGATGTTTCTCTCCCTCTCTTTCTCCTTCCCTTCCTCTCTCTCTAAAAAATAAAATAAAATTTAAAAAATCTTTAAAAGAGGTGGGCATCTAAGGCATAGTTTTATAGAAGGCATTTTTTTTATTTATTTTTTTTAACTATATATTTTTAAATTTTTTTTAAAGATTTTATTTATTTATCTTTTAGAGGGGAAAGGAAGGAGAGAGGAAGAGAAACATCAATGTATGGTTGCCTTTCATGCATCCCCTGCTGGGAATTGGCCTGCAGGGAACTGGTCTGCAAACCAGGCATGTGCCCTAACTGGGAATCGAACCGCGATTGTCTGGTTCGCAGGCCTGTGCTCAATCCACTGAGCTACACCAGCCAGGAGAAGGCATTTTTAAAAAAAAAGAAATGCTAGTATTCAAGGGGCTACAAGTTCACCCTCAGTATCCATTCCTCCTTTCTTACAGGGAACGGAACCAAATGGCAGACATGTTTCTCAGTACCTTCTTTGCGTATAGGTATGGCCATGTGAGTAAATTCTAGCCAATGAGCTGTGGACAAAAGTGAGGTGTGTAGTTTCCGAAACGTGCCTTAATGGGAAGGAGAATGCCACCCCTTCCTCCATCCTGCTGCCTGGAATGTGGACGTGGTAACGAGCCATCCTGAATCATGCAGGGGAGGGCCCACCTGCCTATCATGGAGCGGACGAAGGAGCAAGAGACAACATGAGTCTGGGTCCCTGGGTGACCTCGTGGATCGGGGCCCACATGCCAGCCCTGGGCCAGCGATCTCCAGACCGATACACGATAAAGAAGAACCTATCTTAAGCCACTGTCAGTTTGCATCTCTGGTATTCAAGGTTAAACCCAGGTCTTACATAACACAGCTGACCTATAGAATTGAGTCCCCATTCCTCAGCTGCTTCTCAAAGCCTTCCTCCTGGTTCCTCGATGCCCGGCTACTCCTTAACACACCAAAACAGGAAGAGTCAGATGGACTGAACGACCTCCTGTTCATTACTCTTCATGTCTAGGTAGACCCAAGCCCCTCTGGGTTGGGAAGGAAGGCCAGGCCCATCAGGCTGATGAACTGTGGATGGAGCCCAGGTCCTGGAGCACCACTGGGGAGGAGTTCTCCACCCCACAGGGCGTGCCGCTCTGCTGACACACTCCTGGAGTGAGAGGGAAGTGGACAAAGCAACCCCGGCCCTCATCCCGGCCTGCTATCTCCACTGTATTAGCTCGCCGTCTCCCTGGAGACTGGCCCTCTTCACGGCAGGAACTCTGCTTATTGATCTTCACACCCGACACAGCACAGGAATTAGCACAGGACAAACATTAAAAACGAAAGAAAACCGAAAAAAAAGCCTCAGCTTTATTGAAAGCAGGCTTGTTGTTTAGAAGCTAACTGATGGCTGAATGTTCATTTCCCCACAAGCAGTAAGCGTGGTTATATAGGGGAGTGTCCTTCTCTTTAAGGCACTGATGCACAAGTATTAGAAGTAAAGGGTCATCCCATCTGCATTTCCTTTCAAACGGCTCGGGGTGGAAGGTGGGAGGGGGAAGGGTACCCATGTCTGTGTGTGGTCGGTTCTGATGTGATGTTTACCGAACCGTGTCAACACAATGGATGTTTTAGGGAAGAAATGGAGCAGAGGAAAGTTCACATTTGCTTATGCTATAGATTCAAGGCAGTTTCCGTCAAAACCTCAGCAAGTTACTTTGTGGATATTGACCCATTCATTCTAAAATTTATATGAAAAGGCAAAAGGCCCAAAATAGCCAAGATTACATTGGGTTGGCCAAAAAATCCATTTAGTTTTTTTTTTCCATAAAAGACACATTTTTCATTTTCACCCATAACTTTATTGATTTGGATATTCTGAGTACGTTGGCTATCTCTCACTATTGGCTTCTAGTGGGCACAGGCCAGGGGTACTGCTAAATGTCTTCCAATGCATAAGACAGCCCCACTGCAAAGAACTGTCTGGTCAAAATGTCAACAGTACCAAGAAACTTCACAAACCACTTTTGACACGTTCGCTCAGTCACAGCACCTTCACCATACACTGCACAAATCTTTTTTGCATTTCAGTCATGTTTTTACATTTCTTGAAATAATAAAGCACAATACACAGAAAATGTGTATTTTCTTCCATCTTCAATATTAAAATGGCTGTAAAAATTCACCAATTTTGATGTTTTCTTAAATGCATGCTGATATGACAGCTGTCACAATACAATCTGACAAAATTGTCTCAAATGAAGTTAAAGACAACCGAGCGCTACTAGAGCCACTCTATGGAAAAAAACCAAAAGAAATTTTTAGCTAGCTCAGTATTTAAGAAAAACAGTGAGAGGACTAATACTATTCAGTTCTAAGACTTACTAATAAACCATAGTAATCAAGAGAGTGTGAAGTACAAGGGAAACCAAAGGAAAAAAATAGAAGACTACACCAAACTAAAGTTTCTGCACAGAAAAGGAAACCATCAACAAAATGAGAAGACAATTTAATGAATGGGAGAAGATATTTCCCAATGATACATCTGATGAGGAGCTAATATCCAAAATTTACAAAGAACTCAAACAAAACACCACCAAGAAACCCCCAAACAATCCAATTTAAAAAATGGGCAGAGGACATGAGCACACACTTTCCCAAAAAGGACGTACAGATGGCCAACAGACATATGAAAGATGCTCAACGTCACTGGTCATCAGAGAGATGCAGATTAAAACCACAAGATATCACCTCACACCTGTCAGACAGGCCATCATCTATAAATCAGCACGCAGCAAGTGCTGGTGAGGATGTGGAGAAAAGGGAACCCTCATGCACTGTTCGTGGGGATGCAGACTGGCGCAGTCACTGTGGCAAGCAGAATGGAGACACCTCCAAAAATTAAAAATAGAACTGCTCTGTGACTCAGCTATTCCACTTCTGGATGTTTATCCAGAGAAACCCCTAACACCAATTCAAAACAATATATGCACCCCTGTGTCCACTGCCGCCCTCTTTACAATGGCCAAGATAGGAAAGCAACCCAAGTGTCCATTAATCGATGAGTAGATAAAAAAGTGGTGGTACGTATATACAATGGAATATTACTTGGTCATAAAAAAGAAATGAAATCTTACTATTTGTGACAATATGGATGCACCTAGAGGGTATTATGCTCAGTGAAATAAATAAGTCAAAGACAGACAAATGCCGTATGATCTCACTTCTATGTGGAACCTTAAGAACAGAATAAACAAACAAAAAAAGTGAAGCAGACTCACAGATACAAAGAACAGACAGATGGTCGTCGGAGGGGAGTGGGGTTGAGTACTGGGTGAAAAGGGGGAAGGGATTAACAAGTCACAAAACAGTCACTGCGATGTAAGGTCCAGCATGGGGGACACAGCCAATGACACTGTGGTGGCTATGTGTAGTGCCAGGT